TGTGTGTGACTGTATGTGTGTGTTTCTTTGTCCTTGTTTGATTTCGAAAATGTGTTCATTTTCGTGCCTAATTATAATATATATTTTTTTTCCGTTTCGGTCAAATGATTTATTGGTCATATTGCATCTAGGTATACTTACACAACTTAAATATATCACATTTTGAGCGGACGATAACAATTCGCATTTTCATGTTCTATCAAAACCAACGAAACGCAAAAATAAACACCAAATGTTATTATTAGACTTTGCATTGTATGAAATATGGTTGAAAAGCGAAAAAACACTCCAAATACGAAATATGTTTAAATATTAATTGAAATAGATCATGAACGATGTAGAACGCGTATGGGGTTAATTTTTGATTGAATTTTCCGTCAAAAAGACAATAAATGCAAAGAAAAATGTAAATAAATGTGAATTGGTACGTCCATCAACTTCAAGCGGGGAGTATTTAAAAAATAAATTGCAATTGAAATTCAAAGTGCGATTCGATCAAGATTTTGACATTCATTTATTGTAAAAATGGAATTTTCTTTTGAGCAAATGTAAAATACATTCGTGACCCACAACCAACAAATGAACCATATTTAACCAAATTCAAATGTAAATAAGTAAATACACAAAATTAGAACATATGAATGCGAATGAGAGAGAATTGGTTTGATAAAACGCGGGGAGAACGCAAACCATGCCCGCACCGCACATATGGATTAAATTTTGATATGCACAGCTCTACTACTCAGTTTCTCTCTCTCTCTCTTACATTCTCGCTCACTCTTTCGTTTGTTTCGTTATTACATTTTCAATTGGAACAGAGAGAAAATTAACAACGAGTGCAAACATAAAAAAAAACGGTAAATAGCTTCAGGTGATTTGAAAAGAGAATTTTACAAAACAATTGTATCTTGTGTTTCAACAATGAACATGGCCGACCATATCACGGCACAAACCAAATGCACTCAATTAAAGTAAAATCAAACGCGATAAAAACATCGTCAAACAGAGAAATGTAATAATTTCTCGTTCGGTGAGATGTTTAAACTCACTCCGAATCCGAATGATAAATGGAATTCAACTCTTTTGAAACGTTGCCTTTTAAAATGTTAATAATTGGTACAGGATTCATCCCATTATATAACTTGGTTGTTTATCAACAAAATATTTTCGCTTCGTCTAGCAGTCAGCGCATACAGCATAAAACGTTATCAAAATGAATGATTAAGATGGCTAAAAAAATGAAGTAAAAAAGGGTATGGTATTTCATAGCCATTTTTTTTTAAAGGCTCGCGATCAATCAAAACAAATCGCCAAAATAATAAAATTTCATTAATACGTATGCGGTAAATTGGGCACACTTCGAAACATAAGTTAAGTATTCTCTGGCTTATGCCTTCACCAATTTGATTTCATGATGAAATTTAATTAAAATATACAATAAAATCTATTGTATGTTAGTCAAAAATCAAATATTACATAAAATACCCGCCATCCATATACACATGCACAAAACTTTCGTATGTCAAACGGCATGAGTGTCCTGAATGAGTACCGAACACCGCTTATGAACATAACGCAAACGTAATCGCAAGAAAAAAGCAGACAGATGGGTTCGATTGCGATTGCTGCTTGAAAAGCGAACGAATGGTATTGAATGAACGACGGAAAGGAATGATAAAGAACCAACAACAACAACAAAAACAACAACGAATCAACATTCAAATTGTACGCGATGTATGACAGTTGTGTTTCCACGGATCAATAGTAAAATAGACAAAATATTTTTAGGGTGATGAATTTTTAACGTTTAAACACTCTTCGAGCGGACTTTTATTGATAAAATTATGTTGATCGTAAAGGGGCAATGGGCTTTGCTTGACGATTCAAATAAAAATTCAATATTTTAAAGATATTTTCTTCAATCAAAAACTAAGTACACCCCCCCAATGCGCCGCATCAATGTTGCTTGCTAGCAAATGTAAAAAAAAAGCTTTGGAATAAAAATAAAGAGAATATGATGACTATATTAACGGGTATAAAATGTCCAATTGGATGGTTACATTTATACACGTTAAGCGCACAATCAATAAAAATAATAACACATGTTCACAATATTCGACAAACGTAAATAACACTTATTTGGTTTGGCTTTAAACGCATTTTCGTGGCAAATATTTTTCTACTATTATATATATCCATATATACATAACCGGGGTTTGGGTTGCACTTATCATATTCTTTATTCCATGCACTTGCTGTTGTCTCACTTCAGGAGGTACATTTAATGCCACTTCACTATCATCATTGTACGTATACACGATGATTTGTTTTCAATTCGGCGGTGTTGTGGTTGCCGGTTTGCATTATCGTTTGCTTCTTTGCCAAATATAATTGGTGGATGGTAAGGTGATGTGTATTTTTTTGTTATTGTTGTTGTTGTTGTTTTTATTGTGATACACATCACATCACATTGAGGGCATATATCACTTTATATTTTACGATCCATCAACGTGCATCAAACGTACAAATATGCCATTGATTTTCGACTGTCGACCAAAGTGGTTTATTGACGATGATTGTTATTATTTTTCATAGCTAACGGGAAGCAGCATTTTCTTTATTTGATGCATATGCAGAATGAGATGATTAAACTGTTCAAAATGAAACACTTACCGCCCTATTAAATGCAGCCCCTTTTCACATGACAGTTTAATTTCTTCTCTGGTTTTGTTTTTTAATCATTGAAATATGTAAACGATTTTCTATTTTTCAATTTTCGTTCGTTGCTTTTTGAAAACACCGCTCTATTTCCCTGGAAGTAACTCGATTTACTTTGGAAAAGAAAAATTTCAGTTTTAGAAAAATGAGATATAAAGTAAAAGTAGTTTTTACAGTTTCCGCAGAGCAATAAAAATGGAAAGTTCCATTCGAATTACAATATTGAACGATGTTTTAAGACCGAAATCCGTATGATACGCGTTTGAAATGCGTTAAAGCATAGACTCCGGCGTACAACAAGTATTTCTTTGTAAGCGCAAATAACCAAATAAAGCCTGCGGAGCTATACTTATTCTTTAATCTTTTTTTTATTTCAACGGTAAGCATTTATTATTACATCGGCGTTTCTTCTTCGTTTTTTTTTTTATTTTAACTTCTCCCTTTGTGAGAATGTCGATTTCATCATGCACAGATTTTATGCTCGCTTACAATTTCCATTTGAAGCACAAGCAAATGATTTTCATTTTTGCTTCTTTATTTCCATCTTACAACAGCAACAAAGTGAAATGAAATGCGATTGGACCAGTGAACAAATTCAAATGTGCTCAACTACAACATTGCAATGTAGCCGTCGTCTGTTAAAGGTTATAACTGAAAAGGAAGTGGAGAGAGAGAGAGAGAGAGAGAGAGAGAGAGAGAGAGAAACATCGAAAATACTACAATAAATATTTTCCGTATTTAGTTCAAGTGTTTATTTGTGCACACAAAACCAGGCAAACATGCATACTCAGATGGCACATGCCAGGGCAAAAGCATTGCCAACATCGACATCGAAATTGATGATTTAGTTCATCTGTTTAAAAACAACATGAATTCTATGGCATTGCATAAAATCGATAGCATAAATTTTCAAAGTCGCATTCCACCTATGAATTGTGACTTCGACGTCAATGATAAAAATAATTCGGATCGAAGGAGAAAGAGAATGCAAAAGAGAGAATAAGAACGTCATCTCATACAATATCTTCTCCGAGTCATTGCTCAAGACAACCATGGCAGCACTCGAACGGTATGGCACGTGAGAAAGAGCGAGTGAACGAGAGTTAAAGTGAAAAACGTTTCGGCAAAACGACAGCGCCAGCAAGATCCAAAAATCAATGGATTTTATTTGCGTTGAAGTCGTGCAGAAAATAATTTACACAGATTTGTTCATCGGTATTCAGCCAGTGTAGCATTTGTCGATTTTGTGCCATTGCTGCTCTTAAGCCATTGTACCGTTAGATTGTTCGATTGGGTCGATGAAAGTTGGCGCTTCTCCTCCATATTGATAGCACGGTACACAGCTACCGGCAAGAATCCATTCGAAATTGAGAGAAAAATAAAAAAAATAAATTAGACGAATGCTTTGACAGTGGAGCATTACAAAATTCAATTGGCAATACGAAATATGTCTGAATGGATTTTATGAAAATAGGAGAGAGAGAGAGAAAGAGAGAGAGCATTGAGGATGAGCAGTGAGAACAAAAGGCAGAGGCCCCGATCAAACCATTTATATTTACAAATAAAGGCGATGCGATTCAATTTCAATATTTATTTTGCTTACGTTTATTGTTTACCATGCGTCGGAATATAGTGCATCAATGACATCATACGACCTCCATAATTTATGCTTTGTTTTCGTTCTTTAAAACAATCAATAAATTTTTGGTGCAAATCAATTTTTCGACCACGAAGACGTTATTCTTTTTTTCATTGAGGCATACTTCGGTAAACTGAACACTTGTTCAAAGTTCATCAATTTTATTCTAAATATTAACTATTTATTTTTGAACAAATATGACGTTGTATATACATCAATTCAGAGGCATCACTTTTGGATGTTTGATTCCAGATTTAAAAGAAAATACATAAATAATACCAAGCTTATAGCACTTTTCAGCCAAGAAAACAACCATAAAAAACACAATATCAACTTTTTGTTAAGCATTTTCACATAAATTTACAGAATCTACACTCTTATTGTTTACAACGTCATCTATATGTGACCAATTGGAATAGAATCTACCAATTCGAAAATCACATGAACAAACGAGTTTGAATTCAAATAGTTTCAATTTTCTAACACTGTTGATATGAAAAACAATATGAGATTTTTAAAATTGCATTTTATATTGAACTGTAACAGGTACTTTTCCATGATTTTTTCAAGAATTTACAAAAAAAACGAAACATAAAAATAGTACCAACAAATATACTTATAAATACTGCATTTTTTCTTGATTATTCGAAAAAAAAAATAGGAATGATATTTAGGTGGATAGAACATCGATAACAAATGGATTGTCTTCGGGTGTATATTTCGTTAAAGGAATGTCATAAAGCAAAGGGAATACTAATGTGCTGGAATCAGACTCATCCATTGAAAAATAATGTGTTTTTGTAACGAATTTCGGAAAGAATACAACGCCTGCTTCGTAATTGATATTACGAATTACACGTTTTTTGTTTTCAGCAGTCATAAAACCCCAACCTGACTTCGATAAATTTGCCGATGTCAAAATGAACCAAAACAGCTTATTATCCCTCCATCGACAATAAGTTTTGATATGTGGCATTGCTTGTGATCTATGACGCCTGTCCGCACGCCATTGATACAAAAAATGATTTAGCCAACGTTGTTTCTTATGAACACGATTTTGATATGGTAGGCATCCACCGCCAAGTAGACCATCATGAGAATTTTCCACGTTATTATGAGAAGGATAAATGATGAATAATTCTGGATTTTCTTCTAGTTGATCAATCTTGGTGCCTTGACAAAAACTCTTCAAAAATTCACCACAAAGCCAATCTTGTTTGTTTCTACCAAAATTACCAAGGCTCGAGGCTTGCGCTACGACTGGTGAATCGTTGTTAATTTTTGCTGAATGTTTTGCCAATAAATATGCTATACGACCGTGTCCATGCGGATATCCGGTGCTTGTTTGATTGTATATACCAGGAATTGATGTAACGAGAAAAACATTAACCTAAAATTTAATAAAAAATAAGTATCCATCAAATGTTTTCATCAAATAAAACTGACCGATGCAAAATTTGTCTTCCGAATACGAGTTAACCATGGTTGCAACTGTGGAAGTTTGTAGCACGACAAATAAATTAGTAAATCATTTCGAAATTTAGTTGGACTTTCACCGAATTTTTTTTCACTACTATGCGGTAATGGGTCTAGTTTTTCACTTATCCAAAGACCTTGTGTACGATTATGCCAATCATCTTCATATAAATTTGCTGTTGAAACAACAACACGCATCGATCCATCTTTGTATGCCAGCAACATCATTTTAGTGTGATGAATGCCAATTTCATATGATGGTTTTATAAAATGCGCACTTATTTGGGGATGTTTTTCTGAAATTGATGGTAACGTACCAGATAGCCAGCCGTATAATATTAATAATGGCTTATCTATATGGCCAGCGAAGTAGTATTGGCCCAGCAACCAATTCTCTTCGACGACAAAATTAATTTGCACCGAACTTTCAAGATCACCAAGTGACGGGTCGAAAATCTCTTGAAATGTTATGGATAATGGCTCATTATGTGTTGCCGGTGATGATGTGATACAGGTAAGAAAATAATTATACGGACGTGAAGCTGCCAACTTTTCGGCCATTTTTTCTTTTGGTACCATCACTTTGATATAGTCATCAATGTTGGATTCTGAATCTAACTCGGATATTAATGGTGATTTTTCATTTTTACCACTGGTTTTCAAATCAATACATGTTTTACTGAAGGAATTCGATGTCGATGGTTGCACATCAGTCTCTTCTTGTTCATTATTTGTTGCATCTGAATGCACTGATGATTTTGAAAAATTTTCATTAATATCATCTGTTTTTTCCATAGTTAAATATGTTTATGTTTATCACTTGGAATTGGAATGTACTCTTTAACATTGTATGATTGTCAAAATAATAATTGTCAAACTATTTGCATTGACTGATTTCATTTACTGCCATCTTTTGACGAATACATTTGTCACATTTCACAATTTTGCTTAAATTTTTTTTAAATGTAACATATTTGCATTTCATTATGGATGCACCGATTAAAGTGCCGAGATTCATTAAATATTAAAATTAAAAAATAAAAATAAAAAATGAATCGCTTCTTCGATTTAATTCCAATTCTGATTGTTCTTAGCTAGTAGATTTTAAGTAAAGAGTCATTCCAAAACAAAATATTTCAACATATTTCCAGTAAAATGTCATGTTATGAAGAATTGTCTGTGTAAAACTAGATTCGTTTGTGCAAATATCCACATGTGACCAATTGGAATAGAATTTAACTCGAAAATTAAATGAAACTTTATACACATAAGGCTTTGATTTATCTAGTTAAAGAAATGTACAATATTTTTTTTGGTTTCTTTGAACGTGCTCTTACATGTGACTATTTGCAACTATTTGTAATATAATGCTACTTTTTATTAATAATAATACATCGCCAAGAACTGGCTGTCTTTATTTAGTCATTGTAATAAATGTGTCTTTACTTCTTCAGAGAAAATCCCTAGGAAATTAAAAGATTTTCAAAATTCCATGGGTTGTACACTTCCACCCTTCACACACAACTGATATAGATATAGTTTATTGCGATGAATAAATTATTATAAGAATTCTAAAATGTTAGTGTTTCATTGAAAATGTTCTGGCACATTTCAATATTATTTTGATGCAATTCCATTTATGTTCACCATATCGGCTGCTAATTGATGATATTCAGCTTCAGATGTGGCTCGTTTGAAAATGAAATCTTCCATGATGTGTCCGTTTTCCACCAATGTATTAATTGATTTTTGCCGAATCTCCGGCACTATTATTTCTTTTCATCGACCTTATTGGTAAATATACTGCACAGATAGATCTATTACAAATTGTCCAATGATTTAGTATTTGACGGGATGAAAAGCAATGTGGAACCGTATAATTTTTTTATTTTACAGTTAGTCATGTGGATTAAAACATCTTTCAATTGAATTCAATAAATTCAACCAGTTTTAGGCGATGAAGAATATTTTGGAATTTTGAAGTAATGTATTTGCTTGTTACGTCCAAGAGCAAAAAAAACAACGGAATTGCATCTGAGTATGTTTGAAGTGTAAATGTTTGGGATGACCCACAGATTTGAATGTGGCAATACTTTTCAATACTTAAACAACCATTGTCATAAATCCAAAATAATTAACGTGGACATCATAGTTGATAATTTTGCTTAAATTCATTTAAAATTCAACATGATAAATAGTGCTGACTGAAATTCATTTTGGGATATATTTTTTTGTTTGAAAATGAATTAAATTTATTTTTAATGTTATTTATCACATGAATGTAATCGCTTCCCAAAAAATGTAACAAAATTCCGTACTCTATTCAGCAAGTTGCTCTAGTTTCATTAGAATGCGATCGACATCGACTTTAATGTTTTCTTCCAATTTATTCTGAAACAAGAATGAAAATATCGATGTGAGTAGGTTGTTTTCACTTAAACTGCGCAACCGCTTCAATATTCTTCTTTTACCTTTTTCTCGGTGAATACATTAATTTCGCGATTGGCATCACGCAACGAAAGATCAATCTCACCACATTGTTTATTTTTATTACGCAAAATATTGGCAAAACTGGAAATGAAAAACATTCAAAAGAGTTTTGTCACTGTGAACATTTTCTAAAAAACCAGACATTATATTTAGATATTTTCAGTCAGCTGCATGAGTTAGGCACTGAAATGAAGCGACAACAATGCAAGTGAAATGTATTGCTATAAAAACACTTTCAATGTTACAATCACTTCTATTGTTTTTACTCCATTTCAGCGCTCAACGTTCGCTGTGATCAGACGGTGAATAAATAATAATAATAAGCTCATTCAGCTGGCTAAAAATATCTGAATGTAATGTCTGTTGAAAACGTATACCTTTTTGCTTCAATCAATGCACTTTTTGTTTTAGCCAAATCCTTTTCAATTTGTTCATTACATGCGCGAGCCTTAAGTATTGCAATTTGTTTGCCAATGTTTCTTTCGGTGTTCGTACAGTAGAATTCAGATAAAGTTCCCATATCCATCGTGTGCAGTCCCAGCTTTCGTTTGTACAGAGCATATTCATCCAATTCTTTTTGCATATTCAACGGTAAATCAGTGTACGACAGCGAAAGATGCTTCAGCAGTAAATCGTATTCGTTACCTAAAAATAAACAATTAGATTAGAAAAAGAGATACCACTCGGTTTTATTTCAAATTATAACATTTCTAACGTACATTGTTTACGTAAATTGGCCACTTTTTGCTTCAATTCATTGGTATCAACGCCTGCAAATAATATCGTTAAAATATTATATAATTTTAATTAAAATTATAAATTCTAATGAATACCTGATTTTTCCATTTTCATTAAAATATGTTCGCTTTTATACTAAAAAAAATCCTAAACAAGAACGCGTTCGACAAAAACACAGTTACAGATCCAAAAGTATTTGGCAGATTCAAAATACTGCGAACTCTGACGATGAAATGTCTCACCACACATGACAGACACGAATAAGTCAAACTGATCACAAGTTTTCGGTTAATTCATGTAATTGTTTTAGAGAACATGATATTGGTGCCGGCGTTGAAATTTAAACAATTTAACTGTTGATTTTAATTAAATGAAACTATTCACATAATTTTTGACGAAAAATAAAAAAAAACATTGATGAACATATAGTAATAAAAAAAATATGCGATTGAAAAATAAATGCAACAGATGTCGCTGTAAATCGATGTAAATGGCGAAAGTAGAAAAAAAAACCATTAAAATTTCCCACTTTTTTCTTTCACTTTTTGAGTGTGGATCCACTGAAAAAAATGAAGGCATGTTGTCGCAAGAAGTCAATGCAATTCGCGTTCAGTGTGTAGTGACGTGCCGCTGTGTTTCACTTTATATTCACATCGTTCAGCTTAGACATTCTTTTTGAGTTCGTCGTGTCGGCATTAATATAATTAATGTGTTTTCATTTAGTTTAGCACAATATATATATATATTTTTCAACAACGAAACGTGATACGCGACATAAATATCTACGTCGAAAGTTATCAACGAATCAATTGCAAATTAAAAACAAAAAATAAATAAATATAAAAGAAAATCCATTCCATTTTTTTATAAATAATGAGCACTCCCGCCGTAGTTCCAGTTGCTCTTAAAAAGGGCATTGTTAAACAGGTAAATTATCACACATCCATTGCATCCAAATTGAATATTGTTTTTTTTTTTTCGGGTGATTCGATTTTGTTAACGGATGATCGGTTAGCGTTTAAATGCTTCAGATTCCATTTCGGGCCGTAATCATTACGATTTCAAAATTTTCGTTAAAATTTCGTCAATTTTTTTCGATCATTTCTCTTTTTTTTTTGGTTTTTCGTTGTAAAACATAAGGAAATCGTTTCCATATTATACTACTTGTCGTCTGTATCGTTGATAGTGTAGCATTTTTAGTGTGTGCGTGTTTGTGTATCATATTTTTTGACGTGTTCACACATAGTACATATAGAAGGAAAGCGATTGGTTTGAATTTGAATGTGCCAACTTGGCATTTAAGACATTTCATTTTTTTTGTCGTGTGTCGGAATGAGAAAAACTCCGAACGATATGTTTTCAATTTATGAAATTATTGAACCTCTTCGGACATTTTTATGGATCTATCATCTCGCGAAAACATCACATTTATCGATAATCAATTGGCAAATGCCGATTAATTTCTCGACAATGTCGCATTTTAATATACAAAAGACAAGCCCCCCATGGTAAAAGTGAATGAACTCAGCATGAGCACCGATTGTTGGAATCTATGCATCCGATTAATCTATGTTAATGTTTTCAACATTCGTTTGCCTACTTTCTTCTTTGAAATGAATTTCATTTTGCAACGTGTCACCTCAAACTACAACCAATCCTACTTGTTTTTTTTTTATTTAACGCATTCTTTTCTGTTTTGAATTATTTAATCTTTTTTTTTCATTTATTTATCAAATATGAGACAAAACCAAATCATATGTTATCTTTTTCATTTGGGTTGTCTACACACAAAAAAAGATTAGAAATGTTATTTGTACATAATATGATAAAGCAGCGACGATACTAGTGAATACTTCAACTCAAAATCCATACGTTTCACGCAATATATTCGAGACTTTTCATTTTAATTGTAGAGAGTGATACGATTTGGTGTCGGATGCTTAAATAGCAGATATTTTAGCCATTTTACACAATGATTACATTGATGTTTGACATGAAACCAAAAAAAAATTTGATCGAATGTTCAGCAGGTCATGGGGTGTCAGAAGAAAATAATCAAAATAGCGTTGCATTTAAATAGGAATGCATCGAAGATGAGCCGAAGATGTTTTATCGGTAGAAAAAGCACGTGTGTTGCATATAAATATTTTTAGTTTTCACGATTCTCTTTTCGATCTGTTTTCTGGCTGGGCATGCTGTGATTGTATCTTCGGTTCAATGAATTTTATCAGACAAATTCATAACCTTTTTTTTATTTTCATTCAACGAGCACGCCATCTGTTAGACATCATAATACACATGTTATGTCATTGACAAATTCGTCAAAAAAAATATCCTATTTACTCTTTACATGCACATACCCCAACACCGTTCGGCACATTAATAATGTATGAGTGTAGTGTGTGAACATAACCTCAATTTTATGCCGATAACGATACGGAGAACAGAGCCAACAAGTAGAGTTAATTTATAGTAATCGATCATTTTACCATGTGCTTTCAACATGCACGCAACGAATAGACCGAAAAAGAAACGAACGTGCTCAAAGTGTACGGAGCACGTTTTTGAAGCGATTTTTTTTCTTTCATTTAACTCGCGCTCGTTTGAAATTAATATATGGTAATTTTTTAAATTGATTTATCCAGGTATTATCAGGCGATAGCGTGATAATTCGAGGTTACCCAAAAGGTGGTCCACCACCAGAAAAACAAATCACTTTTTCGAATGTTTTTGCACCAAAACTTGCTCGCCGTCCAGCTGGAGCAAAGTAAGTTGACACATTTTTTTCTTGCTTAAAGATCACATAAAAAAAAAAAAAATGAAAAAAGAAGCAACATATTCTTTATTAAATAAATTATGTTTTATTTTATTGTTCAAAAAATTAATTAGCGCTGAAGATTCAAAAGATGAGGCATGGGCATGGGAAGCGCGTGAATTTTTGCGCTCAAAATTGATCGGCGAAGAAGTATACTTCTGCAGCGAACGTCCAGCAAATGCAAATCGCGATTATGGTGTGATCTACTTGGGAAGTGATCCGGCCACCGCTCAAAGTGTAACGGAACTTTTGGTGCAAGAAGGTTTGGTATCTGTGCGAAAAGATAATGCCCGCACCCCATCGCCGGAATTGCAACGTTTGATTGATTTGGAAGAAGCGGCCAAAAGTGCTGGTAAAGGTAAATGGAATAGCCAATCATCTGCTGATCACGTTCGTAACATCCGATGGACGCAAGAAAATCAACGAAACTTTGTCGATCAATTGGCTGGCAAACCTGTTAAGGCAATCATTGAACACGTTCGAGACGGTTCAACTGTGCGCGCTTTTTTGGTACCGCAACCAGATTACTCTGATTTAGTTCCCGAATACCTATACATTACATTGATGATTTCTGGCATCCGAGTAAGTGATCCAATAGCAATAGCTGTAATTTTAAATCGTTTATAATGCAACTAACTAATATCATGTGATACTCAGTGCCCTGGCTTCAAATTGGATTCGGATGGAAAGCCCGATCACAGTGTCAGTGTTGATTATGCTGAAGAGGCCCGATACTTTGTTGAATCCCGCTTGTTGCAACGTGAAGTTCAAATTGTTTTGGAATCCGTTAACAATACCAATTTCGTCGGTTCCATTTTGTTCCCAAAGGGAAACATTGCCGAGGCTCTTTTGCGCGAAGGTTTTGCAAAATGCGTCGACTGGAGCATGGCTTTCATGAGATCAGGTAAACTATGTTCCAACATTGAAATTCATTTCATTTAAATTCGATTAGCATTATTCATGCAGAGATCTTTTTTTAAAATTTAACCTGAAAAGAACTCATTTTTCAATATAATGCAAGATTAAACAAGGATCTAACGTATTACTGTATATACCTTGCAGTTGTATGATTTCACCCCTTGTACATTTTTTTTCCTCAATTTTTTTTTCTTCATTGATTGGAAATATTTGATATTTAATTTTCTGTTGTTCATTGCATTCAAGGCGCTGACAAATTGCGAGCAGCTGAACGTCAAGCTAAAGAAAAGAGAGTGAGATTGTGGAAAGATTATCAATCAAATGCTCAAACCTTTACCGGCAAAGAAAAAGATTTCAACGGCATTGTTGTTGAAATCTATAATGGCGATGCGATTAGTGTAAAAACACCAAGCGGTGTTGTTAAGAAAGTATTCTTCTCTAGCATTCGCCCACCACGGGAAGCTGGCCGGTAATTATCCATTTAATAGATCCACAACGAGTGACATTTTATTTATTTTTCCACCATTAATTTGCCCATTTTTAGTGCTGCCGATGACGAAGGCAAACTTCCACCAAGACCGAAAAATTTCCGTCCTTTGTACGATATCCCATGGATGTACGAATGCCGTGAATTCCTGCGAAAGAAGTTAATTGGCAAAAAAATCCAATGTAATCTTGATTACATTTCCCCTGCACGCGATAACTTCCCCGAAAAATACTGCTACACTGTTACAGTTGGCGGACAGTAAGTATCTTTCTATGTTATACACTCCAATTGTTGATTGTATCACATCAATTTTAAAAATACATTCAAGAAATCATTATATTCTGAAGTCAATTTGATGTGAAAGAGAAAAGTATTCGTTATAATTTGGTTTACATGGCGTAATTCTGTGTGGAATCAGTGTACTAACGATACAATATTCAATCTTAAGTTAATCATAATTTGCATTAAAGAAAAAAACAAAAAAAAAGAATTGATCATTAATAGATTGTTATTTGTTTTGTGTCGAATAGAAATGTCGCTGAACTGTTGGTTGGCAAAGGTTTGGCCACTGTTGTTCGTTACCGCCAAGATGATGATCAACGTTCATCCCGCTACGATGAATTGTTGGGAGCTGAAGCTCAAGCCATTAAATCCAACAAAGGTGTACATGGTAAGAAAGAGGCAGCTTCAATGCGCATCAATGATTTGACCGTTGATCATTCGCGCATCAAGCAACAATATTTACCATCATGGCAACGTGCTCTCCGTACCGAGGCCATCGTTGAATTCATTGCCAGTGGATCGCGCTTCCGTCTATTTTTGCCAAAGGACAGTTGTTTGGTAACATTTTTGCTTGCCGGTATCTCATGTCCCCGCTCATCAAGACCAAGTGTTGGTGGTGCACCAGCACAGGAGGGTGAACCATTCGGTGATGAGGCCCTCAATTTTGTTCGCGAAAAAATCCTGCAACGTGACGTCAATGTGCATATTGACACAACGGATAAGGCTGCAACCAGTGTAATTGGTTGGCTATGGACCGATGCCAATGTTAATTTGTCCGTTTTATTGGTCGAAGAAGGTTTGGCCACAGTCCACTTTAGCGCCGAAAAAACCGAATACTATCGTGCATTGAAAACGGCCGAAGACAGTGCCAAGGCAGCCAAAAAGAAGATTTGGGCCAACTATGTCGAAGAAATCAAAGAAGAAGAGGTGAAAGAAGAAGACAAAGACGATAAAGTTGTCGAGCGCAAAGTCAATCACGAAAAGGTTGTTGTGACTGAAGTAACACCTGAACTCCATTTCTATGCACAACATACCGACCAAGGTGCCAAATTGGAAACGCTTATGGCCAAGCTTCGCAAAGAGTTTCAAGAATCCCCCCCACTTGCCGGCGCATTTACGCCAAAACGAAACGATTTGTGCGCAGCTCAATTCTCCGAAGACAATGAATGGTACCGAGCCAAAGTTGAAAAGGTTCAAGGCCACAATGCAACCATCCTTTACGTTGACTACGGCAACAAAGAGGTAAGATCCACCACATTTCTTTTCTTTTAATTTTTTCTTTGTTTAATTTACATTGCTTTCTATGCAAGTTCCTTAGATCCATTTTCGTTTCAAAGAAAATGCTTGAGTCATAAACTTGCAATATTAACATTATTCGAATCAAATCATTTTAGAATAAAATTGATAAAAAAAATATTCAATACGAACGATTCTGTTCGTTTTAAAACCTTAGCAACGCATTATTCGTGAAAATTAGAGAAAAAATCGGATAATTAGATGCACCGGTGCAAACGGTTCACAATATTTTTTTGCGAATTTCGAATGTGCTATCGCATTGAAAATTGGTTTTGACAATTTAAACGAATGTTGCTCTGGGAATATCTTTTTTTATTCAATAAATTAGTGAATAGTTTCGTACACATTCAATTCATTATCAAATGATTGAAGAATGTTTTGAGTTTACGTCATTTTTTTCAAAACGTTCATTATTAAAAATTACAGACTGTTCCAACGTCTCGTCTTGCATCGCTTCCACCCGCCTTTATCAGTGACAAGCCATATGCCAATTACTATGGCTTAGCCCTTGTCGTTCTCCCGCCTGAAGAAGATGACAAAACCGAAGCAGTTAAGAACTTAGCCCAGGATGCTCTCAACCGTGACCTTTTACTCAATGTTGAATACAAGTATGAGCCATTTTCTTAAAACAAACGTACCATATTGCTATGTGCCATCATATTAACAATCATTTTAAATTGTTTTTTACTAGGATAAATGGTCAGCCATTCGCAACACTTTCAGATCCAACATCGAAAGCTGATATTGGCAAAGCATTGGTTGCTGATGGTATCCTATTGGTGGAAAAACGTCGGGAACGTAAGCTCGCAAAAATGGTAAGCAATTGATTTCAAATTGATCTCAAATTCAATTTATGTTTTATTTTTATTTTTTTTTAAATGTGATGGGCGAAACTAGAGTCGCTGTGTCCGGGTTGTGGTAAATCCACGCTCCTGTGCCAGTGCTTTTACCGTTTCGTAGAAAAAAATTTGTTGATGGCTATCGTCAATCGAAATCACAAGATTAACGTCTCGTAATTCAGCAAAGACATAATTATTTTTCAAAAAGAAATACGATTTTTTCTGTTTTTTCCATTTGTAAAAATGTCCAAATATAACTAACGCAAACCATTGTGTTCATTTTCAGGTCGAAGATTACGTTGCGGCCGAAGCATTGGCTCGAAAAGATCACTTGGGTGTATGGGAGTATGGTGACATCACAGCGGATGATGCTAAAGAATTTGGACGCAATTAATGCAACACAAATTCAAAACTCAAGAAGCAAAAACCTGCGTGCATTATTGAAGTAAAAAAAGAAGAACGAAATGAAAAGTATAACAACAACCATCGGTCACTCATTATATCGGGAACATAAAGGAATACGAAGACAAAACAAAAAAAAATAACGTCAACGACATCAAGAGCAAAATTAAAGTAAACTATTTATCACATTAAAATCAGTTTTATATATGAATGTATTGTAATTTTTTATGTATTTGGTAATAATGAAACGGAATGGAATAATAATGGGCAACGATATTGTCTCAATTAAGAATAAACAGAAAAAAACATTACATTTTTCACACTATTTTATTATTTATACAATGGGCTACAACAGAATTTATTTTTTCAATAAAACGAAACATACAAAAAAAAAATATTTGATGATGATGCCGGCGCAAAGTAAACATGTAAATGATTTTTTTAAATTTAGCCTACATATATTTCAAGTGGCTAATAAAATAATAAATGAAATCATATTTTTCTTCTCTTTTTCGTTAGATTCAATAACAACAAAATCAGAAGATAAAAAAGTAAATTAGTAAACAGAACAGTACATCTATTCATTTAGATAATCCATTTTTATATTAAAAAACGCGAAACATTTTCGCAAGAACAAAAAACAAATGTTGTTCACATTACCAAATAAATATGTATATTGACACGCCATGCTTCTGACTTTGATTCAATCAATATTTGACATTTTATTCAAGAAGCTTTTAGATGTACGGGAAGGTATATTTGTGAGTATTTTTGACCGTCGTCAAAGTTATAGTCTACATCATTTTTGGTGTATCCACTGAATTGCACTATAAAAAATAGCTTGAAATGAATTTTTAATTATTTATATTCGTCGCTATGTACTGATTTATGAAATTCGAACCATTAATTTAGACTGAGCAATAATAAGCACAGATTCGTAGAATTAGATCAGGTCCATCGTTCTACCGCTGAAAAAAAAACAACAACAAACCAATTCAAGTTGAAGCTTTATTAAATTTGTCTCAAACAATTAAAGAAATAATTTTGATCGGTTTTTATAAATTGCTTTAATTTATCAATTATTTGAGTTATTTGGAAATTTTTTGGTCCTATTTTCCGTTGAATGCAATCGAGTTTCCCTGGCTTGTGCTAGACAATCCATTTGGCCCAAAACTATTGCCGTTGCTATATGCAATGTTGAGGGTTTGTCCATTTGGTAAAGTATACGTTTGTCCGCCTGAATTTGCATTACCTCCCTAAACGAATAATATATTATTTTGTTAATGGAAAAATGTCAGTAAGAAACAAAAATCGATGTTTTGATCAAACAAATTTACCGATGAACCATTTGGTCCGATGCTAAGTGTATTAGTTACGGCATTATTTGCAGTTGCTCCAAAACCTGAAGCTTGGAAAGCTGTAAAAAAATTATTGTAAGATTAGGTATTATGGTATATGCATACAGAACACTGGATCCTACCTTGAGCATTAGCTAAAGCATTGGCATCTTGAACGCCGCTTGGACCATTACTATGACTATGTGAATTTGATTGTGCTGTTGCTTGGGAACTTGATTGTTTATGAGGATAAATTTGATAATTTTGATTTGGATAATAACTTTGAGTTGGACCGAACTGACGCTTAGAACTGAAATATCAAAATTTATTAGAAAATAACAAATAACTGAAAATATCGCAAAAATTTACCGCAAATTTGGTGTTAGAAAGGCAAATACTTCACGTACCCGACGATGTGATGATTGTTTCGGGCGAACATTTAAACTTGATTCAACAACAACTTCCTCTGCAACAACTTCATCAAAATAAATATCAATTATAAATGTGCACTCTTTTCACACGATAAACAAATGAAAGACGAAAATCTTTAATAAAATTAAATAATTTCAAATATGATGGTTTGAATAGCGATAAACTCTTTTAATTGTTGATATGGAATTCATAAAGCAATAAACATACAACATAATTTGGTGTGGAAAGATACAAGTTTGCATTCTATAATTTTTGCGCAGTTTATTCAGCCGTAGTCATTACTAATCGTTGGCAATCAATCCCGCAATATGCCATTACCAAGAAATCGCACAACTTTTTCATATTTAATATTTAAACAAAAAAAAAAAAACCTTTCGGCGGCAATATAATATGAATTTAACCTGTTCTTTTGATATTCAAAGAAAATATAGACCGCAATACAAAAATATTGTCTGTTTTAATTCCGATCAAATTACGTGACCGTAATTATTTCGATTTTATGAATGCTTATGATATGGTACGGTTAACCAAAATTTGAATATCTAATTTTATTTTATTTTTCATCATAATGCAATTCAAAAACTCAATTATATGTAACAAAGCGATACTTTAATTGGATATAATGTGAAACATAAACGTGTTTCAATTTATTGAATACAGTTATATCCGGTTACGCGTGACAATACAGTATCGATCACATGTGAGCAGTAAGTGAATGCAGTTTAAATGGTGTATCGTAACGGTACCATGTTTAAATTCCAACGCTAAACAGCATGTGACTTTGTTATTGAATTTCACGATTGATTTTTATATGATGGATTACTAATTTCGATGATTTGAATGAAGAAATCAATCATTTTTAACAACATCGTTCATAAAAACATCATGTCGCATCATCAAGGCAAAAACTAAAAAGTTGAATTTGTCACATTGTATTCAGTACAATATCTTTGTTTCGAATGCCGGTTAAAAAGGCAGAAACATCGTTTTGTACGGAATTATTTGAAATTCAAGGAATTGTTCATGTTTGGCATGAAAACAGCTGAACGTATATGTTTTTCCATTAGCACCTGTTCATTGTTTTCGATACAAGGCAAAGCATTGGCACTGCCACTGAACGCTACAAATGTAACGAACAGAAGGCGATTATAGTGCACACAATACTGAACCAGACACGTGTTTGTAAGCTATATAGCACATACAAAAGCAGCATACACACGCAAGCACAAAACGTCATTTCAACAAAATATTGCATCATCATTTGTATACATGGGGTAGCTGGTATTGAATCCTGTTTCATTCACGTGCTTACTCACTAAAACATGCACACATCCTTACAAACTGTTGCAGTCTAGATATAATGTACATGCTTATTTTCTTTGCTCTAAAAAAAACTCATCGCCTCTAATGCCGAGAATGTGTGCCAAGTTCATCGAATTGATGATTATGAAACGTTTGCATCTGTAAACTCAACCAGATCGTATTGCGAACACAAATACAAATAATCAAATAAGCCATTTATATGTGATGTAGTATATTAATCATTAGAAAGTGTGTATATGTATATACTCTTTCATCGGTGAGTTCCACCGATTAATCACATGTGTGTACAGTGTACACGATACATTTGAATTTTAGTTGTCGTGGCATATATGTTTCTGTCTGATTATTATTTGATTGATGATAATGTGCAGGATTTGGCAAACATATTTCATTGATTAGCTGTTTCGGTATTTAGGAAAATGTTGGTCTGGATTATGTCCGAATGCCAGTGTCAACAAAATAATTAAATAAACTGTCGTAAATATGATCATTTGCCTTTATGTGCTACGCACAAATAAAGAATGAAACATCCATAGAGAGGAAGAGTGAACAGTATAAACGTCAAAAGAATCATCATTTATAAGCGAGTGCTGACAAGCTGTTTGTTAATGTGAGCTTGTATTAGTAGTATTGTGTACACCGTGCGCATATGCGAAATCTTTTTTTTTTTACAACTTGCTGGTGCTACTTTTTGCTGAGTCCGAATTTGAATGTTTGTGTCTGCTTTTGATGGCATAAATGTGTGTGTGTGTGTGTGTGTGAATCTGCTCTCACATTGCATGATATTATTTTCACTGGCTCAAAACTGTGGTTCGCACACATTCACCAAAGGAAAGAGCCAACATACAGACGCCTTTTTTTATTCTCTCTCTCTCGTGTTGGCAGTGTGGTAACAAAAAAATCAGTAAATATTGTTCCATATATATAAAGATTTGTATATATCATTTAAGTTGTAATCCGTTTCGTGTTATTTTCGTAAATTTTCGCAATTTTTCGCGCAGCGATAAGTATATTTTTGAAAATAATTTTTTCGCGTGTTTTGCATTTTGTTTCCTACAGATTTTCCTCATGGCTTAGTACAACTTTTGAAATTGTGTGTTATTGAAGCAAGAGAGCCAGTAAATGGCACCCGAACTACTGGATTATTAAGATTATGTTGTCGTTTTGGAATATACATATATTTTTTTAATTTATCACTGGAAGGATAAGGTCGGATAGTTTTTCCTTTCTTTTAACAACGCATCAATAGTTTGAATAGTTATTTGGGGTGTAACAAGCAAAATAAACAAAAAAAAGTCGACGTACTGTTCGAGTGTGAAATGTGCCTGAACTTCAACATAATCGTAGACGTATTTTCATTATCAACTGTAGAAGTAAAATTTAAAAGAACGAAACATTACTCATAGTAGCAGATCAACGTAAAAGTGTTTTTTTTTGTATGCATTCTGTTCGAAAAAGGTTATCTCAAATTCGAGTGAATCTTCAATCTCAAAAAAAAAAACTCATCCCATAATCAAATTGGAAAAATAATTCAGCGAAATTAATAATGGAACGTTTACATGATCGTCAACCGAATCCAAATCAACGTTTAAATGGTTTTCGTTTGTACGATGATCATATGAATGACAATGCAATTGATGACAATGATAACAGTAGTGACAGTGCCAGCGGTTATTCTGGCGATTCAGATGAAGAGACAGCCGAGGTGTGGGTTTTTGGATACGGTTCGTTGTGCTGGTATCCAGGATTTGAGTTTACAAAATGCGTCACCGGCTATATACGTGGATATGTGAGGAGATTTTGGCAATGGAATACAACGCATCGTGGTACGAAAGAAAAACCAGGCCGTGTTGTAACATTAATTGAAGAAACGGATGGCATTACCTGGGGTTGTGCCTATAAAATAACCGGTTCAACAGCACTTAGCTATTTAAAACAACGTGAATGTACGCTCGGCGGCTACACAACATTATATACAAAATTCTATCCTCGTGTTGCGGCCGACGATATGGAATTGTGTGGTGAAGCATTTCCAGCACTTTTATACATCGCCACCGAACAAAATAGTCTTTGGACGGGCGACACACCATTGCCAATCATAGCTGAAGAAATTGTTGATAGCAAAGGACCATCGGGTTCAAATGTCGAATATTTGATACGATTGGCAAATTTTATGCGGGATGAATTGAATGGCGTTGTTGTGGTCGATGAACATTTATTTGAATTGGAAAAAATTGTGCGAGACATTTTGGCCGAGAGAAAAATCTGCATATCGATGTTGATGGGACGACAACCAGAACGCATTCGACGTGATTCGCATGAAGAAATTCGACGACCAATTACATTTGAATTTAGTTCACGTGTGCCAGACAAAAAGTTGCGCTGCCTCAACATTTAAAATCAAGTAAAATCGAAACCTAATTTAAAGATCAATTTTATATCGAAAAACGTAAAGAGAGAGAGAAAAAGAAAGAGCAATAGAAAGTGTACAATGTATACCATTGAATTTATTGATCTTTTCTTCGTAACGAATATTTGAAATACGTTTGTAAAAAAAATCAATTAACGTCAAAAACTAAACGCAACAAAACTGTAAGATATTCTAATGATAAGAGCCTAAATAGCGATTTAAACCAATTTAATTGTATAAATTGAATAGTTGTGATTCAACCGACCATAGCTTTTCTACAAACCAGACGAACGTTATAAACATGAGAAAATTCCTATTAATTGTAAAGAAAACACAAAGATATTAGTTTAAGATGTATGAAAATGAACGCTATTATGTATGATTATGGTTTTTTTTTGTCTGTTGTTTAGTGTGCTCGCGGAATAAGCTTTTTTTCTATTCAAATGTTTATGCTGAATGATTTTGACTGTATTACTATTAATTTTTTTGAAACAAAATCAAGTTACTTCTTATTAAGAATATATGTATATCGTTGTATTTGATTAAAGACCATTTAATATTAACTCAAACATTCGTCTTTTATTTTTCAACATTTCAGACAGTCTACGTCGAAGTAAATTTGGTGCAAACAATAGCACCGAAAACCTGTAGCATTTGCATATTTCAAATGTCAGAAAAACTTGACTTGGCTTGGCTACACTTGACCGCTTGGAGCATCGCATTTTTTTATTGCTTTTTAGATGTTTTCAACAGTTTGTGTAGAATTTATGAAGATGTTCAAATGTTATTCATATAAAAAAAGAAATGATTAGCGCTTGATAGCAAAAAAAAAAAAGAGAATTAAATCGACTAAATTCAAAGCATGCAACAACAAAATTGGCACCTATGCCAAGCATTTCATGACGTCGCACAATCATTTTATATTTCATTCCATTCTATTTTCATTTTTTTGGTCGTTGCTTTAAAATATAGTTTTAGTCATTTATTTGACGTGGCCAAAATATCCAATACACTTCGTGTGGGGTTTTTGATTCCACAAAAGCAAAACATGTTCACAAAAAGAGAAGAATCGTATATTTTTTTTAAATGAACAAAACCGAATAAAATTCCATGAGAACTGGTACCTGAGAAAAAAGGAGCTGTTCACATCTTAAATTAAACTTTTCCGCATTGCGTCTATCAGTCGAATGAACAATCATATGGAATTATAGATGTTATTTATATAGGTTTGTGCTGCGCAGTAAAGCTTACTTCGCAATTTCAACAATATAAATAAACAAATGAATGAAATAGACATCAATATTTAAAGTGCAATGCAAAAAATTTGCATAAAGAAATTTAAAACGCAAATGCATTTTCAAAACAGCGACAAAGATTAAGAAGCTCAAATGAGGAATTACTCAAAGAACATTTTTAAAAAAAGAAGAAAGAATACCGAAAATCACAGTGAGCAAAACTAATGAGCCACAAACGTTGTACACCTTCATTGTTTGGCAGGCGCTTTGCAACAAATAGACTTTGAACTGTTCTCACATTGACTGCATTTTCAGGCACAGTAAATAAAATCACTGTGTCGTTACTAATATCACACTCGCATCTTTTGTCTATTGTACACGTGGAATTTGTATGGTTTTTGATATTTAAAAACGGTTAGTTAGAGCTAAACTATCGTACTTACTTTCACTTGGAGCTGGCGATCTGTTGGTTGTACTCTTGTCCGCTGCATTGCTTTGTGCTTGACTTTGAACTGAAACGGCCAATAAAAAGGCAATGGCACACAGCCAATTCGATTTACAGACCATTTTTTTTATGATGAATTTTCTATACCTATTGAATTAAATGAAGGAAAATCGTTAAAATTCGTATGAATGGAATGAAATTACGAGCTAACTGTGTTTTGAAATGAATCGATACGGTATGAACTTTTGAGTTTTATACAAATGTACGAACAATATTTGTGAAAATCAAAAATTCCCCATACAGTCACTCATTTGAAGAATTACACATAGACGGTGTGTCAAACTTACAACAAAATCAATAAAATACAAATTGTTGTCTTTTCTATTTGGTTAAATTATTATCGAAAACTCGTCTTTAGTCAACGGCTGTTAACCAGGCACTATTTGCATTTTAAATACAGAGAAACGTCAAAAACTGGATATTGGGGCGGGAAAAGTCCAGTCAACAGCAGAATTGGAGACAATTTTTTTTTCGCTAACTTGATGAAACCTTTAGATAAAAACAAAATCAAATTTGATGTTGGTTTAAAAACGAATGTCAAAGTATAATTGAGAAACAAAGTGAAAAATGAATAAACCGAGAAAAAATAAAGTCCGTTAGATTTGATCTATAGAAGTGTACATTCGTATTCAGCGAAAAATTGTCTTAGAAATAAATAATAAAAAGTTGTCTCATTTCAGGTTTTTTTTAATATGTTGGATATTTCCGTTTATTTGTCGGTTCTTGTCTTATATTGAATAAACGCAATTCATTTTGAAACCAACATCAAGTTTGTTTTTGTTTTCATCTCAAAGAGTCTCAATTTATACTTGAGAGTTCAACGTAACATGGTTTAAACATACATCGCACCAATACCTGATATTCTTGTGGGCAGTAGCCAGTTGCTACGCATATTTTATTTAAAATTATTCATTATTAAGTCTCATTTAAAAACAAAACATAATAAATGAAGTTGCAATGGTAGCGACGGCAACGACAATAACCAAAACTGGTTTTAGCATTCATTCACAATTGTTTTTCCTTATTATTATCATTTATCAGATGAGTATACGTATTTTCTGACCAAGTACTTTTTCTTTAAAATCGCTTTGATTTTGCATCAACATGAAAAAATTGATGGAAAATTTGCTAGACTTAAGAGAAAAAGACGACAAAAGAATCTATCGGAACAAGAAAAAAACGTATGTCTTGAATAAAGCGTAAAAACATGAATATAACGGAATCTAATGACCACTCGATCAAGATTGATATTCTCACAAGTAGACTTTGAAATGTATAAAATAAGTGATGGGAAATCTACAGCATTCTAATTCAAACAGAAAAAATGCTATTTTATCGCTACTTTGTTGACCTAATTTATCTGTCGTAAATTATTTTTTCCGTTTCTAAGCTCAAAAAATCATTTACCAAGATTCAATAGTATTTCATTTTTGAAGGCGGCGACGGTATTTTTTCTTTGTGATAATGAATCCTGTCCACTTGTTCGATATCATCATTTTTTCGGAATTATTCCATTAAAAGCCATTATTGTTGGTTCCAAAAAAATGATTGATTTCGAAGCAATTGACATATCTCTGTTAGCGATCGGATAATATGAAATCTAAAAACAGACCGCACTCAAGGAAATCTTGATCAGAATCATTTTAAACACCCTATCATTGAGTGAAACAATGAACTCAAACATTTTAATCAAATTTAAGAACATTCGTTCAGTAACGAGTATAAAGTGACATTTTTTTTTTCAAAAAGTGTTTTTTTCAAAGAAACGGACGAATCAGCGAGCATGAAGAAAAAAGAGAATAGCAAAAGAAAATTGTATAAGTGGCAGAACATGCACAGTGATCGCACACAGCGATAAATAAACAATTACCCAATAAAGAAAGTCCAATTGAATGTAATTGACACGTTTTGTATAAAGTTGCGCATATGTATAAATATATGAGTATATCACGGTTGTTTGTTTGCCGATAATAATTTTGAAATTTTTTTCAACATTTCATGTAGGCGACCGACAACGATGTAAATAAAATGTGCCATTTTGAAAATAAAGTTCCGACGAAGAAGAAGAAAAATGCGAACAAAAAAACACGAGACGAATGCAAACTCATTGCAAATTAATGTATAAACACACTGGGCAATAGATTACAGTTTCTTTTTTGTTGTTTTGCTGTCTCTGTCTTTATTTTGAAAAATTTATTTTTTTTGCAATTCATTTCATTTGCGAATGAAAAAACTCACCGATAAGTTGTTTGCGAAATGAGAGTCTTCCGTTTTTTTTTGTGTTATTTTTTGTTTTGCTTGACACCCTTTTTCACTTTTTTATACAGGTTTAAGACGCACAGTAATATTTTATTGTTTCAAATGGGCTATTTTACGAGATTCTATTTTATTTTCAACGCGAGTCTGATTCTGTGTCCCGACTCCGATATAAACTGCGCACCACCATTTATGAACTCTATATTTTTGAAATGAGGTCGGGATATTTATATCAAATTTTCGCCATGACTTCAACATTAATCTTACATTATCAACAACAAATAAAATATGTAATTTCCAAATTCTGGAGAGTAATCTACATTTATTTTTCGGTTGACCTATAATGGAAAATCCAATATTAGATAGAATGTTTGCATTAAGAATTACATTTGAAAGAATAATGCAAATTTTTTCCGTTGACTCATCACTTTATTTAAGAGAATTGGCTGGATTTTAGGATTTTTTTTTTTTTTTTTTCATTTTTGTTTTGTTTATTTGTATTTATTCCATTTTTGTGATAGAAGAAACGAAAAACGAACAAAAAAGAAATATAACATATGATAATGAAATAATTTGGTGTAATCAGAATAATAATGAATACAAGTAGGGAGGAGGAAAGAAAATATACAATTGCTTAGTTCATATTTTGTCGTTGATATATTTGTTGTATTTATGTGTCGGTCGGTTTCGCTGAAAAACTATATTTCACTTCTTCTTCTTCTTTTTTTGCTAAAATCCTTATCGCTACTAGGCATTTCATCATCGGCCAATTAACCACCATATTTGTCTTGCAATGATGACATAACACCATTCGCCAATGAACTCAGCCGACCTGCCACCTTTGTCACCCCTTGGCGCACACTTTCGCGTACATCTTCTAAGTCAGGACCGTTGTAATGAATATCACTTATACCTATATCAGCGAGCGAGCACATACACATACACATGAGACACAGAGAGAAATATGATTAAAAAGCTGAATTGATCGAATTTTGTGGGTTACCTATTTGAAGGCGTTTAACGTACCTCGACTGGAAGCATTGTTTTTATTGTCACCAAAGTAATCGGCCGATGAAATACTGTTGGAACCTTGAAATTTGGCCAAATTTGCCGAACGTTCGAATGATGAAGTTTCCTGTTCGAAAAATTGATCGGATGATATGGCTTTGGCGCCGCCAAATTTTTTTTGCGCATCATTATTTTCATATGTGTTATACGATGTTTTATTGCTGCGAGAATCTAAATTGGTTTTTTGATTTCGGTTCGGCGGTGTGCTTGACGCTGCTGCATTAAACATGCTCGTTACATTGGAATGACGCGAATCGATTATTTCAATTTCTTCGAATCCCATTATGGCTAGATCGGGATCATGGGTTTTTGTTGATGTCGAATACATCGTTGAATAATCGTCAAAAAAGTCATCTTTCGGCTCTTTATCGAACACTTTTGTTGATGTTGTTGTATATTTTGGAGTTGGCTCTTGTGCAATTGTTTTCATATCAGTGAGCACCGAATGTGATACATTGCCACGAACATTGAAACCCATACCAAGACGTTCCATTTGTTTTGCTTTCGTCGGATCGATATGCTTTAATTTTTCCTCTTGCTTTTGAGCTTTCAATGACAGATCTTGGTATGCCAAACGAACACTATTCATCGTTTCGGCTTGCTCTTCTTCGGTCAATTTCTTTTCAGGCACTTTTTGTTGATCGGCCAAATTGGCTTGATTCTCCAAATCAGCAAAATTTGTTTTCACCTTGGTCGCACCGAGCGCACCTTTTTTACCAGCGCCAAACTAAAATATTTCGATTATTAATTTATGTTTGGCTTTCAAATGCGGTAAATTGATTGACAAACACACTTACCCCTCGTTTTGGTTGGACTTTTCGAATTCCGATTGTCGATTTTGGTGGCTCAACTGGAACACTTGAATTCAAGAAGTCAACACTTGGTGCGCCACCAATTGCAGCTGGATCGGATTTTGGTTTGGTCTCTTCTCTCTTCGGAGCAATCTGAAAATGAATGAAATGACGACTTTTTAATGAAACATTCAACACTTTAAATTTTATTCATATTCTATAGATGTTAGTAATGTGTTATAAAAACCAAAATGAAGAAAACAAAACAATAAAATCAGAATAACAAAAGGCAAATGCATACGAACCTTGGTCTCAGCTGCATCACTCGAACTTACAAAATTATTATTTTGTGAAAACCCATTTAGGTCATTTTCACAGTCGGCAAAGAAATCCTCCTCTTCTGCCTTCTTATTATTACTTTCGTCATGTTCATGTGAATCCAAGAATAGCTAAGAGCATAAGAGAAGAGAAAAAAAAAAAAACAAAACAAACCAAAAAGAAAAGAAAATGTGATTTGCCATGCAAAATGTTGTTTTAGACTTGTTTGATTAAGATGATCAAATGCACAAACGCAACACGAATTCGAATCGATTTAACGAAATGCACTTACTGTGGTGCCATGCTGTTTCATGGCTTGCTGAGCAAGATTCGTTAGTTTTTCGCGATAGAGAGTAGCGGCACGTGAATTGTACTTTTGTTGAGCATCAGTTGTGATGCAATTGTGTTGGCGGAAAAATTGTGCTGCATTTGCGTTGCCACCTAATTGCATTTGCCTTAATTGAATCCATGTCCAGTTCGTGTCTAAATTCGTTGAACGAACAAATGTCAAATGAACGCCCAAATTCCGATGAACTGACGAACAATCAATACATATAAATACACCGTACGTCACTGACGACCACGTCGGATTCTTTGCACTGCAATCAAAACATATCTGAAAAAAAGAGAAACACCAATGTTTTATTCAATAAATCGAATGTATTTCCATGGATTTGAGACTATTCGGCAAGGAGAACGATTGTTTCATCAATTCCGATTGCTTCGATTGGGAAAATTACCTTGTTGGTGGGCTGTGCACGAAGCCGATGAAAAACTGCTTCAATATCACTTTTGGATGGTCCACTTGTACTTGCCATTCTTAATGTCAACGTTATTGAATTTCACAATATTTGCCACAATTTTTTTTATCGATTGAATTTATTTGCTAAAAACTAACTGGTGTTTGAAATGCTATAGTTTCTTTTTTTGTTTTTGGTAAATCATAAATTTAATATCGTATGCTACTGGTACTTTATAACGCTACAAACTAATGATTTTATTTGATTCTAATCGGTTCTAATTGTTAACAAAAACAAAATAAAATTGATGGAATAAATGTGTATAGTGTGTATTCAGACAATGTTCGTGATAATATTTTTCTTTGACGTGTACTCGTTTCCAATGCCAAATCATGATGTGAATTGTCTTTGTGGAATAAAAAGCCATCTGGTGGCGACCATTTGCATTAACTATAACTATTCCTGACATTTCGTTCAAATGACTTGAACACACCGATCCGTACCCGTTTTAACATTATTTCGGTTCGAATGTAAATAATTGTAAAGCAATAACCATTGCTTGAATTCTTTTCATTTTTGCGAAAAATTCTTTCATCTTCAGCATACTGTGATGTGGTCACAAAATTGGATTTTGATGGTTTTGAGTAACATTTTCGACATGAAAATATAATACATTTCTGCCAAATCATATGAGAGAGAGAGAGAGAGATAAAAGTGAAGGAAAAAGTTGAACACCTTCATAGTCGCACTCATAAATTTACATTGTGCTAAAGAACAAGTGGTCTTTTTCAAGTGGTTAAACACATGCAATGAACTAATTAATTGGTTGGTACGGTGACTTTGACCCTGTTAAGTGTTCGGCAATTTTTTTCGTATTACCCACATTTGTAGCGCATGATAAGCCCGGAGAAAATTACCACTTGTACTGGAATTGTGCACTCATTGAATTGATAAATCAGAAAACAATGTGTAATAATAAAACAGCAAATGTTTTACATTGATTCGGTGCATTACGAAGTTGTGCAATTTTTGGTTTAAATTGTTTATTGTTCTCTGCGAGTTTTGGTTGTATCTCCGTCTAATATTACATCCAAAATTATTCCAACGAGCTTCGAGCATGTGATTGCATTCGTGTGATTTAAATCAAACATAATAGTTTTTTTTTGTGTTGCTTCATGCGAACAAAAAATCGTGAAAACTCCACAGATGAGCATTTGTCGCAATGTTGGTAAATTAGATCGTGCGATTTTAAAATCGTAAATAAATACATACAGCTGACAAAATTCACCTCGATTTTCAGTTTGAGTGATGAAAAAAAAAAAAAAACAACAACCAATAACACTTTCAACTCACGTTTCAGGTTTTTTTCTTCATCTCTTTCTCAATTTCTTCTTCTTTATTGTTGGTCTTCATCGAGCGCAAATAAAATTAGCTATTTTGCATTCGAACCTACCAACAAATGATTTGTGCAATGAAAAATAAATGGTATATTAGATGGCTTTTAATATGGGCAGAGATACACATGTTGCGCAGATGAAACTCTTTTTTTAAATGTTTTATTTACATGTCGAAAATTATGGGAATCACAAAGAAAGTGAAAACGTATACTATGTATGCTACTATGTGTTCGTGCCGGTTTATTTGATTTATATTTAGAGAGTGAAATGTTTGTTTGAACATCACCATTTTTATTTCAATTGACAAAATGGCTCAGCGAATTGAATTTCAATTAATTGTTAAACGAGCCGCAAATGCTAGTCCAAAAAAAAGATGTAAACGAATCGCATATGTATGTCCATTCTCTGTAGTTTATTGACTTTTATGATGTCACTGGTTCACTGTTTTTGCTTATGATGTAATTTTCTGTTTTCGTTTTATTTTCGTTTCTTTAAAAAAAAAATTGCGTTTTCCTTCTTTTGTAATCGATACATTTCGTGGAGCACTTTCAAAACTTAATGAAATAATAAATGTCAACAATAACAAAACCAACACATAATCATTTCCAAAGAAATGTATTTATTTATTTTCACAAAATTTTTGTTCTTTCTAATTAGACGTGTTGAGCTTTTGACACTTTTCCACAATTTGGAGGGTTGTTCTCGAAAATTCGAGAAAAAAACTGCAGACACCATTATAATTTCTGATTGGAACTTGCCATGTAATTTGCCAAATTTCTCATGTAAATCAGCCAAAGTTTGCGACTTAAAACAACATGACGCGCACTCATTATGGTTGCTAAGCAGTTGAGCAATTTGCATACTCTTGTTTTCATGATCATGCGTTATATTTACTTGGTGTTGGTCATCATGCTATACGACATACACAAGATGCATATGATAAGATTTATACATGCCGCATTCGATTACGCAAGGCTAAATAAACTTATAAACGAGTGAAATTAATTGCATATAAAATAAAGCTTACAAAATGAACAATGTGCGACAAAGATTATGATAAATTTGTACAAAATTGCTTCGAAAACTATATTAACGAAAGGTAAAAGAGAAGAGAGAAAAAAACTGACTAGAACATGAGTCAGTGTCTTTTTTTAAAATCAAATGTGTAAATAGTCAAAGCCTTCATTTTGCACCGACAATGTTTTGTTTATTTATCGATCATCCACAAAGTGTCATTGGATCGATAAATCCTTAATGTATTCATAGAAAAACCACTTGAATGATGTTCAAGAGATGTGCTTTTTTTTCGTTTGTAGGTTGACTTTTGGTCAATGTTTATTTTAAATTTGACTAGTATGTTTAACACTTATATTTGTTTTATCTTCCGGTATGTTATTAACCTATAGATACCAAATTTTGTCTTCGTTTCATTTGATTTTAATATTTGACCCAGCAACGAAACTCAAAATCGTAAAAATTGAATGCGATCGTTGTGTCGTCTCCTAATTGCTTATACAAGAGACAAAACTTAAATTCACTCACGATTCGGTGTGCGACAATAACTATTACGATCACGATTGTTAATTGATGTGGACATCTAACGTGTCATCATATCATAAAATTGTGATTTATGCGTAAATAAACAAAAACTGTTCATTTCGAATCAATTTCGAACGTGCTGTGCTGTAGCATATGCTTTTCACACTTTCAGCCAGTTTTATCTCATTTTTTTTTCACTGCACATTTAAATTCCAGGTCGTGTGCCTTTTGTCTGCGTATATCATCGCATACGATGCATGTGTGTATGCATATCAATTTAGGTCGCCAGAATAATATAAAGAAAAAATTACGATGAATGATCTTTTTACTAGTTGAAAGTGAATTTTTTGAAAACAAAAAAAAAGACAATAAACGCAAGAATTTTCAGCCTTGAACTTTTTGTACCGTTTCACTTTCAGTTTGAAACCATACCGTAAATTGTATAAAAATAAATAACAGCCGATGAATGAAAAACAACCAGAAATGTTATTATTAGCAACATCATAAACTGCTTTCGTCAAAATTAGGAAACCAGTTTCATCCATTTCTATTCCAGTGACCGATTTATTGAGCTGTTTTCAATGAAAGATTATAGAATTATGTTATCCGGCGCACGTAGAAATTTCTACCTGGAGATATCTCATTTCGGTTGAACGAAATAAAAAATGAAAAATATTCTTTTTTTGCTTCTGGCGAACGTATAAACCGAGTGCAGTAAATTATGCATTCGCCACACTGACCGGTCTAATCCGTGCATTTTTCTGTGTGCTCATGCGGTTAAAACAAAACCCAAAAAGTTGAAATTATTTATCGCCTTATCCTACCCATGTTGTTTTTTTTTTCCTTTTATAAATATTTTGTAATCGCTATCTAACGAATGAAGAAAATTTGTTTTTATTTTGCGACTCAAATAAATCGACTTTGCATTGATACTTCGAAGCGTTTTCGCTTAGAGACGAAAAAAATCTGAGCAAAAATTGCCTAATAAAAATTGCACGTGCAATGGACAGAGTTACTTACATTTTATTCATCAGATTATGGATCGACGATGTTGATCGACGCGATGATTATCGTGCACCATTATAATTGGATCACATTAAGATCATGTACAATTTGGTATTTTTTTTTACACGAGGAAATAATTTGTATGACGAAAATTATTTGTTGCGGTTGCTACTGTCTTTGAACGGTATTTAAATGTGATCTTTAATAGCAAATCAATTTTAAAGTATGGGTGATAAATGTTAAACGTTGAATGAACTGTAATGAGTGCAAGTGAAAATGATGCAACTTTTTCGTCTCTGCACACACATACTTTCACATGACTACCATATTAATTCGAAGCTCCGATCTCGACAACGACGCAATAAAAGACGAAAAAAATCACGTTAGATTTGATCAAATAAAGGTGGATCGCAAATGCGCAAATCTGTCTACAACAATCAGTGTCTACAACGAGAAAAACGTTAAATAATTTGAAATTCTATGTATTTTACACATTTATTTTTGGTATAACGGCTGCGCTGAATGCAAATATTGTTATAAGAATGAATGAATGAAAGCATTTTTTTATTTTTCACTCCGTTGAGTTATTACATTTAACAGGTTGACACATAGTCGATGCTCAAATATTTCAAATCGAATGCTCGTCACTGCAACTGGACATAACAAATCACGATTGAACATCTGAGAATAGAAAAAAACTGTAACATTATTAGCACAAAATTGTCTACTGTAATTGGCTAACCATGATATGAATTTGACAATTCAATGCTGCAATCTGAGTCCGTTTTCTTTCTTTATTTTCTGTTTGTTTTGCGGACAATCAAGTGAAACTGTGGCAGAAAAAAAAACACAGAGACAGAGAGAGAGAGGGAGAGAAAGAGAGAAAAAAGGTTGAAAGCGTTTGCCAATTTAATTATTTGATTATCACTTTTGAGGGATTTTGTAATTGAATTATGTCGGTCGCATGATTTATGTTTGATGCATTGTTTTCGTGTGCTAATGAATATGTTTCACTTTGTTGCAACATACGGTAGATTGTCTCTCATCATAATGGAAAAAACATTGTAAAAGAACAACATTGAAATGATCTTGATCCAATTTTTCGAACCGAATTGATGAGTACTATACATAGAATATGCGATCAGGAAATTTTTAACGTCTATTTCATTCCTGTTAATTACTATTGACAATATTTAAATATTTGATCTGTAATATAAGGTAGTAAACCGTGTACTTATCTTCTCTCTGTGTATTATCTTTGCAAATATTTAAATTGATAAAAGACTGGGGCTGGTATGTTCAGCAAATGAAATCCATTACAATATTTATTGTTTTATTCACATACTAGAGAGCCACTTGATGGGCTTTTCATTTTCGCAGTTTTTTAAACACTCGGGACGAACACTAAAACGGCGACAGAAAGAGAGAGAGAAAGAGAAAATGCGTCGTCGCTATCTTTTGTTCGGTTAATATGCGGCAAAAATATGAGGAACAAAAAACTAGCATTGATATTATCGCCACCTTGTTTAGTTGCGCGGCGTTGGCTCGTGTAATGTTCACGTTAATTTATTTGCACATTGTTTCACTGTTCAGACTTCTTTTTTTATAGCGCATATAAATCGACATGATGGTACATGAGACGATTTTATAAAAAAAATAGTACCTGGTTTCAAGTCCAGTTTACGTTCTTCATGTGAATGAGAATTTGGCATCGTAATAAACAAAGATTCCACTCAAATTGATTTACACGTGAAATATTCTGATAACGAGCGAATAAATTGGTTTCACTGGTTTTGGATTATGCACGACAAGTATGACTTGAATTGAATATAAAACAAATCAAACTCTTAGCTATGCTTGAAATATCCATTGAATCCACTTTATACAATGGCGATGATGTTAATTTGAACACAATTTCCGCCATAAGTCTTGCCAAAACGAAATATGTGTACCACTGTTAACTTAACAGGTGCTTTATTCAAATCGATATAAATTTGTTTTCATCTCGTGCAAGCGTCATGAAATTATAAGATGGCTCATTTTCAATAAATACGAGACAATCGCACAAATTAAGGAAAAAAAAAAACGACGTCAATGAGCAGACAACCCATACATTTAATTTTGACCTCGAAATGTTGTACATTTCTTGACTGCACAGAATCAAAAAAATCGATACTATTTTTTTAAAAAACGTTAACTGTATTTTACGATCATGTTAACTGTTTTTCCTTATTTTCACAACCACGTATTAAACATACGACATCTTTAAAATAGGCAAAATATGATGATTATATTTCGATTGATATTGTTTTGTCGATTATAAACATAACGAAAAAGAACCATCCAGCATAATATTTACATGCAAGAATCGAAACCAGTTCCATTTGATATCATTGGAATATTTTTCTATCGATCATAATTCCATAATGTGATTTTCGTCCATGCTAAATTATCATGTTGTTTTGTATATTAATCTCACGATATCCGAATGTCTCAATATTATACATTTTAATAAGTAATTTGTATTCAAGAGGCCGAAGTGCAATTGGTTCATGGAATAGATATGCAAATAAATTACGTTAAATTTCAATAGCAAAATACTATTTACATATTTCATTTTTAAAAACTAAAAAAAATGAGCTTCAATCGTAGCTACAAAGTTTCTATGACATACAATGTTTGCTTTAGATTTCCTAAACACCTTACATGACACACCTGTGTTAAAATTGATAAGAAATATTCAAATGGAAATAATTTACAAACAAAAGTAAAAGTATAAACATGTTCAGTAATTAGAATATAGTTCTGTTTTGTGTCGATATTTTCGATTGACGACTCGATGTCATTCAAAAAAAAAAAAAAATGATTTCAAGTCATAAACGGATTATTAATCTAAACAAAACAAAAGACTCATCCCATAATGCCAAGCCCAAGATCTTTCATTAGTTGACCGCATCATATTTATGTGCATAACAAAATACCGCAATCATTAATGACCAATATATGCGGCGATTGAATGGAATACTAGTGAAAATTAAATAAATAAATACGACAAAACGAAATTAAATTAAATGCTGTTCGGCACACACACACTATTTTACACATACATACAACACAAACATACGCAAGCACGTCCATTCAAAGCATAAGCATGTGCTACGTGCACCAGAAAATATCCGCCAGTTGATATCCATTGTGTCCAGCAGCCACCATTCTACAGTTGTTGTTTTTTTTTGTATATAAGGCCAACAAAATTCAGCAATCAACAACAGTCACTAGACATCAAACAAAGTGAACGCACAGTTGTACTGAGCTCCCAAAAGATTCTGATTCATTTAAAACCAAAACTTAAAACTAAAACTATTATCAACATGAAATTCATCGTATTGGTACGTTTGACAATCATCTGCTATTCTCTAGAGTGTTAAAGTGAACTTTTTTCTTGTTAATTGAATATCATTTTTTTTTCTTCGAAATCACAAATCAGTCTCTCGCGGATAGAGAGAATGTTCTGAATACGTATTATGTGAAATCAAGTTTGAAAATTATGGTTGAATTTTTTTTAAATTTTTCTTTGGAAAAATAATTCGCTTGAAACATTTACGCATCAGAAATTTGTGTTTTGATTAGTGCAAAAAAAATTAAGATTTTTTATTCAATTTATGTTTTAAATTTCGAAAATATCAGAACTGTTCAAATTGACATTTGAATGTATTTAATTTTTTTTTTTTTTTTTCAAATTTTCAGGCATTTTTGGTTGTTTTGGCCGCTGTTGCTATTGTTTCAGCTGTACCGGTCGATGAATCGTTGCCTGAAGCAGTGTACGGCAGCTCGGATAACTACAATCCACAAGAGCCAAGTGAATTCTTCAAATTGAAGAAACTCAAGAAAATCTTCTTCGGTTAGATTGGATTAATGTCGAAACAATTGCATCGATAACGATGGTGATAAGAGAACGCCACCATCCACCATTCTCTATACTCACAAATTTAATTGTTTTTTTTTTTCTTAAATTTAATTGTTTTGATTATTTATGCTGCAAATATATCGCTGAGAAATATTATCCTCATTATAATGGTACCCATAAATGGGAATCGCACCGAATTCTCAACAATATAGAAATAAGATGTTTTTTTGCTTCTGCTCTCCTCCTTTTTATTGTCTTCTTCTTTTTCCGAATTAGAATGCAACAAACTGCACAAAATATTAACACAGTCAATAATATTAGTTCCATCAAATATTTTGTACATACCTTTGAATTGACACAATAAAAATGAAAATGAAAGAAAAAAAAATCAAATCAATGGGTTGTTTATCTCAGTTCTGATTTAATTTTAAAATGTTGTGCTTTTTTTTTATTCGAAAAACAGCGCTGTGCTTGACACACAGCATTGCCTCACACATTGAAAAGAGGGCGTGCGCTTACTCCATGTATAACATTCGATATGTCATTTGTCAAAAAAGCATTGCAGTGTGATGTTCTCAATTCGGACGAATTATCGATGAAAACAAAATTAGTTTATTTGAAAGTGAGAACTTTTAACAAACAAACAAAATTTTCAACGGTCGCCAATCTTTCATAATAAACGATTCGATTAAAATCGTACCGAACAATTATCTGTCGCATATAAAAGTTTATAGTTGTATGAGTTAAGAACTTTAAAAGGATATCAGAATGTGTGTTGTCATTTTTGAATGTGCTTTGTTTTTTTCCCGTTCAAACGTATAAACAAATTCCGATTAAATTGTAATTTTTTGCGAAAGTGTTCGAATTTTACCAACAACTTAAACTCAATGGCAACGTTACAATGTTGCAATTCATATGAAGATGAATCTATTTTACTGTGAAAATTTGCGACCATCATCATCAAATCAACAAAAATTGTTCATTTAAATTTAATTTGATTACGACATTTTTACATGTGTGCTAACAAGAAGTAAGTGTCGTGTGGCTCCAAAAAAATCCAGCGAAATATTTTGGTTAATGATTGATATGGTGGTTATATCACTTAAAAAAAAAAACAAATACCAATTGTGTGTGTGGCAAAATGTAATTAATATTGAGATGATTGCATAACGAAATATTAATGTATTTGTACCTAATCGTACAAATATTAGGAAATCAACGGTATGCAATTTAAATTCTTTAATAATTCTGAATGGCGCTGGCCATTCGGAATTTCAGCACTTGAGTTTGCCATTCCAAATTCTATTGAGAATTCAGGCCAACAAAAACATTTTCTACCTTGTTCATCTCATATCTCAGTATCTGATTGCACGCATTATATATATATATATTATACGAATAACGAAAATGGAATTATGGGAAAAAGGTGTATTGTTTATTTGCATATAGTTGCACTTGTGTTATCTATGGAAATAAGTGTGGCATACAGACTAATGGAATGCGGACATTATACAAATCATATGACACGGGCACAGCCAAACAGGCACAACTAACATCAAACCATCCATGTTGGTATGATTTATCGTGTCGTCTCTGTCGAACCGCTTGCGATGAAAGACAAAAAAAAACTGGAACAGAATTTTTGGTAGACTTTGCGCGCCCATCATGTGACACATATTAAGGCTGTTGCTAACCCTCAAATTATATGAGTTTTCTCTTTCACAACACATTGTGCGTACCATTTTTGCAGCATATCTCTTCGCCGATCACATTTATTAATTTCGCATATTTTATTCCAACGAATACATTTATTTATCTGGTTTCGATGCATTTATTTAAATAATGTTACATGCTATAACGGCAACATTTAATAAGCCTGTTTCCATTTTTTGGTACATTTTTTTTTCAATTGAACTTTGAGGGTTAACAGCAAGATGCTGTACAAAGTGGAGAACGTGTAAATTGGGGGATACAGGCAGTGTTAATCTCGTCGTTGAATCTTGCGTTTGCGCCGCATCGAATGCGTCAATTTGTATACCATCCGTATCACATCTGCGAGAAGAAAAAAAAAGATTTCAAACTTCAAACAAACAAATTTGCGGAATTTTCACAAAAACTTTTCAAATGCAATCCATAATTAAGTTCTGATTCTTGCCATGATTTACTTCATCTTCTTTTTGAGTGTCTGATACTAAGATTGAAATTCTTTCGATTTTCACGTTTTTTCATAAAATTTAAATATTTTCATCGTATTGGCCCATGCAAAAGATGGCGCTGGCAAATATTCTCCAATTCAACCAGTTTTTACACATTTTTGCGTAGTTTACGGCGATAAAATTAATGCTTCCGCTCACCGAAGCTCATTAAAACAATGATTTTTTGCTAAAGTCTTTTTTCGCTTTCGAAATGCTAAATTGAAAGTTAAAAAAAAATCGAATAAAAATCGCCCGCATTCCGCCACACAAATGAAACATCGATATTTTGAAATGTGATGATACACGCGCCATGAAACGAGATGAAAATCCACGAGTCGAGTTGAGTTTTTTTTTGCATCAAGTGACAGTTTGCAACATCGTTTCTCCTGCGTATTTCTCGTTCGTACGGGAAAATTCATATGTGGCGTTTCAATCAATGAGATATAAATCGCATGTTCGTAAATATCGATTCATTGCGCACGCAATTCATTCATCGCATTTTGTAGTCAGTGCCGTTTGAAGCCATCGAGAAGAAGGGATCGGCATCCCGTTACGAGCTCCGTGTCTCGTAAATAATGTTTTTTTTGACGGTACATTCACTTTTTTAACCGTCCCAATTATAATTTTATTCCAGAAATAATTTTATCATCATTTTTCTTGTCAAGTAAAACAAAAAGAAACGATTGCAAATAAAAAAAAGAAAACATTCCACATAACAACAAGCAAAACAAACAAGACACAGAAAAAAAAATATTTAAAACTAACGTAAAACTTTTTAATAAATCGTAATAAAAACCAAAACAAAACAACAAAACGAACCGAACGAAAGAACGAATAAATGAACGAGCTAAACCCAAAGAGATACCAAATTTGTTATAGAAATTCCATAAAAAAAAAGAAGTTCAAAACCGAAATACAAACGAAATGAAACGCAATACAATTTCGAATTAAGCATACAAAGAATTCTTTCCAATGAACTGTGCTTGCAATTTTGCGACTAACAGGAAGAAAACGTTCAGTGAAATTAGAGTGTAACGCGTGTGTATGTGCAATCGAACGAATCAAAGAAACGAATTCAAGAATAAGAACAAAAAGATCGAAACATTTTTTAAAGGAAAACACGTAACAAGAAACAAAAAGAATAAGCATAAAAAGGATTCGAAAACAACAGTCGATAACGTTCCACATCTCAATTCATCGACGTGTACTCTTCGAACCGAAAAGTTCTATTTTTTTCTTTTCCTTTTTTCTTTCTGTTCAAAAGTGTTTGAGAAAATGTGTGCAAGAGAGCAAACGAATTAAGAATGTGTTCAAAATGGTTGCAGTGCCAATGAATAACTCCATAATATCAAATTATTCAATTCGAAACAGTGTTTTTAGTCGTAGCGTTTTATTGAGTTTCTAAAAAAATATATACATATATATATATATATATTTATTTGTTCGCAATCCGACTATTTGACACCCATCGGCCAAATAACAAACTGGACGACGATGGGGCCATGAGCTTAAGCTACAATATCATTTCGAGTCGCAAGTGCGTCTCAATCGTGCTTGCACCATGCTAGCACTGCTGAACCTGAGGTCAATATGCGACCAGGACCTGGGCTGGTCGTGATGGCGCTTGCGTTTATTTCGGGAGCTCGACGAAGCACAAGTCAACAGAGCAATCCCACAATTGGAAGTGATTCAAATTTACCGAAAGAACAACAAACAGGATTCTTAGCTCAACTAAATCCATGGTTGTCTGCTTGCGACGTGGCAAATCCAATAACAGCACCGGATCTTCAGGTAATGTATCCAACAGTTGAACATGCTAGAAACTACCAATCATACCGAGCCCGATATGGTTGTGACAAAAATGAGATTGAGCATCTTCTCCGGAACATGACAATCATCTGTAAGAAGAGAAAAAAAAAAGCATACACTCACACACTCCATCCCTCGATAACTGAGTACGCTCATTCATTCATTCGATTTGCAAGAACTGGCAGAATTGTATTACACTTTCGTTTGAATAACAAACGATTTTGTCGAAATTTTCTGAGTAAAAAGCTTTCGCCACCAATGGAATACGCCATTGGCCACGGCAAACGATGTGATAAAAAACCATGTACCAATATAATCAAATGTAACAAAATCGAAGCCAAAGTAACAAATAGTGTTTCGTTAAATTGGATCTAAGAGAGTGATAGTTGGAGATAGAGAGAGAGAGCGAGAAAGAGTAAGAGTAAGATGTAGTCATAGATTGAATGGAAGAGAGATGCTAGGAATGAGAAAAAGAATCAACAAAGAAACCAAATGAAAAAGTCTGAACTGAGATGAAGACACGAATACAATAGCCATTTTTCGCGGATGTGTATTTGTGTGCTTAAAGCAGCACATATGTATTGAGAGTGTCACTTCAGCCTGCGGCTTGGTATAAGTATGCGAATGTGTATGTATATGTGTAAGTGTGTGTTTCTCTGTGTTTATGGCTGTACGTGTATTGGTATACGAAACACGTTGTATGTATGCGTACATAGTGTCAGTATGAATGGAAGAGCGAGAAAGACTAAAAAGCTTAATACTTTAAAATGCCCATTTAAATGGGTTAATCAAGAGCAGGTTAAAAGGACAAACTTGACACGCTTTCGATATTTATCACTGCATGCTCTTCTATTTATCCTTCTTCGACGACTAGATTTCTCGGTTTCGCCAATTAATTGAAAGCGTTGAATTCATCGTTATTATTTCAAGCGTAACAAACATAAAATGCATAGCATCATCACCGCAAAATATATATTCGTTAATGCACGAAAATGATATGATAAAAACAACGTATGTGTCACACACACACAACCAATGTTTTGTTAAATTAGTTACCTTATTTAGTTTTTCGTTAAATGAATTTAATCAACGCGACGGGAAATCAGCATTTAAATTTCAATGTGAACTTCTTCAGCAAACAAACAATCCTCGTAAGCTGTGAAAAATAAGCAATAAGGAAAAGGAAAAACTGATGGCAATTATCGTTTGTTATTTTTTGTGGTCGTGAATTAAAAATGTTGATGTATATTACAAAGCGCCCCTTGAACAAAAACATTCGGTGTCCTCATTGAAACTCATTCATCGGAAGCAAATAGGCCTTTCGAAATGATTTGTGTAACAGAAACAGACAGGGTTAGACACATCTTAAATTTTGTATTTACTTTGACTTTGAGATAAAAATGAATACATAGCATATTTTTCATTGAAACAGCTTTGATTGCCATAATCATGACTGTTCACATAATCCACATATCATATCGACGAAAAACGTCCCTACTATTTTCCGTAACCAATTGATTGAAATGTTACGAATTATATAATGCGGTTTGGATTAGACCAAAAAAAATCAACTGATATCAATGGCATTTTTCAAAATATCAATTCCCAAAATAATTTTAAGATAGTTTTTCCATGTCATTCTTATACTATTGCCTTCAATCGGCCCGCAATAGCTCGGTTTTACATGCCATGTATTTTGTTAGATTGTTGCAGAAAGATATATATGTAATGGGCTGTTCAACAGAAGAGAAAAAAAAACAAGAGAAAGAGTATTTTTTTTCCTTCATTTCGACCTGATTTCCGTCAAGTATCGGCTTTAGTATTTGTCTTCTTTGCGTGATGGGGTTATGTTTTAAAGAAAACTGATAAAAAGCTTTATGGATCATGTTACATTACCGAAGTTCAAGCTTTAATTGCATTTAGTGTCAGTCATTGCACTGAATGATTAAAATCCAATAGAACGGAAACGTTTTATGAGCTTATGAAGGTTTCACCATGCCCATATCAAGTCCTTTCGATATCCTATTAGCGCGAAAAATACTTTGAAGTCAATTTGCTGAGACATCGATTAGCAGCGGCATCAGTGGCAGCCGTGCCTCGCCACTCCACATTATTATTGTTGTTGTTTAGTTCGGAGGATGTCGATAAATCTCAAGAAAAATTGAAGTGAAAATATACACTTCGTCTTAAGTGAGTAAAAGCAAATGGAATGTCATCGAAGAGAGATAGAGAGAAAGAGAGATAAAAAACGAAGTTTCACGATATGGGTAGAAAAATGAAAAAGAAGCACACATAATAACTGTTAAATGAAATTATGCAAGTTTCATTAATGATGGTGACACAAATAGGTACGAATTCAACATATAAGTTTTATAGAGGCAAATACTTGGTGTGCCACATTGGAAATATATACGATGGTACGAATTTTTTTTTTATTGCGATGCTATTCCACCTAAATATCTAATACATGCACACACACATATACACATACATAACGGCACACACAGATCCGTTGTCGATGGGCGATATGAAGATTTTTCACAGTTGTGTGTATAGATCATGTACAAGAGAGTAACAACAAAAATTGTCGGGATGTTGTGTATGTATGTGCTTTCAGCATGGAAAGTATCAGAATCAACGCATCTTTGGCTGTTATTATATAGCAGCGTTCATAGATGTGTTGGTACATATCTAATATGGATACATAAAACATACACGATTCTTATATTCTCTCTCATTTTTATTAGAAAACTGATTTTTCTTTCTTTTGCCGTTTAAGTAGCCCGTATATATATGCTATGGTACTATATAGGCATCATTTATCCGCGCGTTCGCAGCTAAAAATGATTTACAAGGAAACGGGAAAACGTATTAGAGAAAAACAAAGCGAAACCATTGTCATGAGGGATAGATAAAAACACGACTGAAGAATGAAAATTATAAAATAATAATGATTGTGCTAATAGTAGTAATAATAATAAGAGAGCAGCAAGAATCAAGAAAGCGCACAGTGCATTACCACAATGAAAATGAGTCGAATAAGAAAAACGAGAGGTAAAAAAATGTGGCACACGAATAACGGAGTAACAGTTACACGAAATATGCATGAAATGAAATCAAACAAATCGCACAAATGAAAATAGAACAAATCACAGAATGTATAAATGTAAATCAGTATTGAATGCTGTAAGTATGTAAACAGTCAATTTCGAATCAGTCAAATGCAATTGAATTCAATTTGGATGCAGTGGATATAGAGCGTTGCTGCAATAATGAATATTAGTTTCTGGCTGTTACAACTCTGTTGGTCGTCTTCGTCTATTCTATCAATTTTTTTGTTGTTTTCATCGTCATCGTTCCTTTTTATTTGTTGGCAAATAAGCAAAGAAATTGACATGGAGAAAGACGGGCGCGCATCATCAAATCACAAGAATTGGTTTGAGTCGATGTGGAAAATGAGCACCGAGGATGAAACCAATTTCCGCGCATTATATTCTGTCACATAATGACATTTATAACTATTTGTGTTTCATTGCTTAAGACAATTTATATCATGTCATGCAATTCACGACGAAGAAAAGAAATACAGGGATTGGAAAGCGAAAGAGTGTGCTTACTAAATTGGTTGCGTGGCGAAAATCGCAAAATTTATTGACAATCGAATTAAAAACAATCGTATTCATTTTATGTTCCGTTTTTGCTCACAATAACGTTTTGTCTGTTTTCAATATATTTACTTTTGTTTGCATGACATTCCGTTTATTTCAAATTAAATGTGTAACATTTTCATTTCATCCATTTTTGTATAGGGTCAATGTTCAGAAAGCGGTAGCACACTGCCTAAAAATTGGGTGAACGAAGGTCCTGGGCCACCAACATGCGCGCAGTCCTGCAGTGAATTATATAAAACAAATTCCGCCAGTAAACCAACAGATAGTACTTTAAATATGGATGAGAAAAATCGGTTTTATGAAAAACAACAGTGCCTTGATTATTTGGGCGATGATAAATTGACTTCTAGTCCTGAACAAATTTGTAAAAATTCATCACGTGAAATATCGAACAAATTACGTACATTACGTTTAAGACATTGTTGCGAACGAAATGTTTACAGTGCATTGCATGACGATGGAATGTCAACTGTAACCAAAGGTGGCAGAGAATGCGAACAAATATTACAAAACCTTATTGATGCGGACGCATTAGCTAGTAGGATTACATGTGGACTTAATGAAATTCTATTTAGATATGATTGTAGGCAAGTTTATTCGATAAAACATGGATGCAATGATTGTAAGGTAAATAATATATATATATATATGCTATTTCTAAATCCATTCATTTTCACAATATGCTTAGAGCAGTATTTGAGCTATTTCTTAATCCACGTCAATTGCTTTATTGTATCGAACTGATTACACTCGCGGCTAGACCGTTTAGCGACAGCACACAAACAAAGACACAGTGAAAAGTAATTCTTCGGATCAATTTTAAGAAGTTTAATTATTTAGTGAAATATAAGGTAAAAGCGACAAAAGGAAACAACAACAAAAAAGAAACACAAAATTCAACATTTCAGTGCAGAATGAATGAGTAAGACATAAAGCAAAATCGATAAATGCTTTTATATGAAGACATTTACCGCCGAGTGGTGCTTGACGATTGCAGCGTTGTTGCCATTATATGCATGCATTCACATCACCTAATCGATTTCACTGCGCTCCATACCTTACTCATTTCTTTTGAATTGAAGCTTTCTTTTACGAAACAACATACACGTCAAAACTCTTCACAACCAAAGTGGTTGAATGCAATATTCATTATAATGCAATGATATATTGTTTCTCTTTCATTGTGCTCTCTTTTTTATATTGGGTGTGCATTCAATTTCGATTTCTGTACAAATTATCGCGATAATTAATCGGCGAAAATTACAGAACATCATCGATAAAATGAAACAGATCAAATCAAAATTGACATTGTGCAAATAAATTGTGAGTGTGACTGTTCATAGGTTTTGTACATTGAGACATCACTCATTGTTAATTAGCATTTGTATCAGTTTTCGCAGATTATTTGCGCTCAACGTGCTCAAAGTCACTCAATCAAAAATGTCCTCATGTCAGCAGCCAAGAAAAAAAAAGAAAACTATTTCAAAATAGTAGTACATATCTATTAAGCATGAGTTTAATTACTTGAATTTAACGAAACGATGATGGCCGTGCCGTTCTCATAAAAATGATTTATCCGACAGATTTCAAGATAAAACATGTGCTATTCCTTTGTGATTTTTTTGTTATTCACACATGACATGTTGTAATTAGAGTGATTGAGTAGAGTAGGTTACGTACGATTTCAAAAATACCTCTACAACACACTGATTTTATTTGTTTGGTTTATTTTCACGGTTTCATTTTGATAAATCACAGGAAGCGTATCGCAGATGGGTTTGTAGCACACTAATTCCATATTTTGCTGAACCAATCGATATCAGGCAGAGTCAAAACGAGGAAAATAAGGAAAATACCAACAATAATAACAATAACAATAATAATAATTATAATAATAATGTTAATAATAATAATGAACCCAATTCAAAAAGTCTACGTTCATCGCCGACCGATGACAGAGATGATAAAACTCAGGTTGGTTTGGTGTCTGATGATCCTGTTGTATTTAAAATACTAAATAGGTAAGGCCGAATACAACACTTGTGTTTCCATGTTTAGCGCTTAAATTTCTATATGTTCCAAATAATGATGCATTTTGTTTTCTACACACTTCGATACAAATTTCGTTGCTGCATCAAGGTCAAAACGAAAAACTACTGAACAGAATCGGCGAAAGAGAATAAGACCATGTCTGAAAGTTTGCCAAACTGTTGAAGAACGTTGTCCGTATTTGCTGCCTGGTGACAGATCGCCTGGATACAACACACAATATGCGGGCGAGCCAACATTCCTCTGCAATGGTAAGTGCTTTCCGTTCAATTTTCTTTGGTTTTGTGTTGTTTTTTTTTTTTATTATGGTTTTTCGTCGTCCGCCAATAGCGTATGGGTGTTTTTTTGTTTCTTCTCCAAAATGAATGTGGTTTGGCAACATTTTCCATATCTCTAAATTGTTTCTTATTCCGGAACTTCCGTCAATTAATATAGATCCAAATATTCCCGAAACTGGTGAACAACTGGCGAAATCGAATAACGGACCTGGTAATTGTTGTTACGAGCATTGTGATCCATTTTCCGTTTATGGGGGTATTTGCACATATTGCGATTCAATTGAACCAGATTCAATCGCTGATAGTCCAACTGAATTACAAGTAAGCCAAACAAAGACGCTGGATGAAATAATTGAGCTTAAACAACGATATGATAGCTCGGGTATTGAAAAACTTGAAACACCACCCGAAACGTGTCAGCTAGTGCCGGGATTGTCGTTAACAACATCAAGATGTGAAATTCCCTACTATGCATCCGATTTTGATGCGGACATTTTACAATTGACGGCGGTCACATCAACAACGCCAGCAACAACATTACCAACATCGACAACAGTTGCAGATAGCACGTGAATAACTTTTGTAATCCATAAAAACCTAGAAATTATTTAAAAACAAATGAATTTCTATCGAATTTTTTGTTTTTGATGTACACAACTGCACTGATACATTTCAAGACTTTTGTTCCATCGCGTTTTTGGAACGCAGATATCCATGTGAAGCTCCTCTCGTTTAACGCTGTGCGCCCATCGTTTTTATTATCGATGTTGTGTGTTTGCACAAACAAAAATGCGCTCATAATTTTTGCCTTTTCGCAAACTTTGGTTTTTATTTTCCTGAACAAACATCGAATTGTTGGGTGTTTTAGAGATTCATTGCATCGAAATGTAAAAACTAAAAAAAACTCCACTTCGGAAATAAATGCCACTCTGCTAAATAGCCTCGACCAATGGTTTTTATTTCCGATATAATAGAAGAAAATTGAAGAGACACAAAACATAAGTGGTCTATTCCTTACTGATTTCAACAACAAAAACACCGTTCAGCTTCAAATCTACAAAAAAAAAAAGTTCAACACGCACTGAGACTCATCGAAATAGGTACGCATAAATCAAATTACAATAGCCAAGAAATGGTTCAATCCAGCGCCGCCACCGCTGCCCCCAACCCTTCGGAAAGGATGACAGAGAAGCATCAAAACATCTATCAAAACCGAATTGTTTTCAACGATCATTATCGAACAATATAATTTTGGAATATAGTTTCATTGTGATTTTTGTTCAACTTTTTTTTTTCCTCGGAAACACATGTGTAAAACGCTCATTAAATCGAAAAATCGTTCGATGACCTAGCTATATTTCATTTAGTTTGTAAAACATTACTTATCGAAAAAGAAAAAAAACATTGATGAAGAGTGCAATTATTGAGCACCGGATTTAAGCTACAAAAACACAGATTAAGACCACCACTCTAGCTATGCTCACCACCACCCCTCCCCCCAATGATGTTGAAATATATTTACAAATTTGGACAATATCATGGATCCTGTTGTAAACACTATAATGACGCGTCTAAGAGTAACATGAAAACGAACAACTATTTCGCTGCATGGGCTGCATATTTTGATCGAAATTGCCCAATTCTAGTTTTTATGATAGTGAACAAACAAAAAATTAAAACAAATAACATAAATAATATACAAACAATAAATCATTCGAGACAAAGAGACATGAAAAAAAAAAATGATATTAACATAAACAAATTTTAAGGGAATGATGAATGGCATAAATTAAACATACACTCATTTAATTAAGTTAATGAATGAACACAAAATGAGTGGAACCAGAAATAAAAATTAATATGAAGAGAAAAGAATTAATAAAATTGTGCACGCAGAGGATCAAGATGAACAGAATTCATTAAACCAAAAAAAAGAACAAACTCTACAGCACAAAGAGACCAAATTAAAAATCATTTCTTCAACACACACACACAAATAATAAAAAATAATAATATTAATTGAAAGGGAAAAAATGAATAGAATGAATTATATATGCAATCTTCCAATTATGCGGAAGGTATAGATAAATTGAAAAGTGTTTGAAATTTGTCGGCAATTATTCACATATTGCGATGAATATTTCTAAAAGATGTTTAGAAGTTTTTTGTTTTGTTTGGGAAAAGTCGTAAAGATATAAAAAAAATGATAATAATGAAAGGGAAACATGTATTTGCAATTATGATTTTTAAATGAATAGCTTGGCATGTTTAAAATGTTAAATGCTATAACATAGAAATGAAATTGATACGAAAAAAGGAGACATAAGTAATTTAACATATACGCCCAAAAAATCAGCAGCTACTTAATCGTATTCGAAAAGCTTGAATCGAATAAGAAATGTATGCACATCAACGACGTTCTTCGATCGTTGATTTCTGTCGTTGAAAACAGAACCCCCTACCCCGCCCTAAACAAAAACCATACACACACACACATAAGACAACAAAACACATATATACAACAACAACAACAAAAAACCAACAAATTTGCACCGAAATGCATTCGATAGTCAGTTGAATTGAGTTTTTCTCTTTTCTTACTCGATTTATGGTTTTCCGTATTGATTTCACAAAACAGCAAACGCCGATGTAAACGTGGAGTATATCGATTATTAGTGAATCTCTGTGTTAATGAAAAAAAAAACTATTGGGAAATTTGAAAATTAAGAAAAACAAAACAAACAAAACCAAAATATATATTATATATATTTTTAAAGTTAAATCATTTACGAAAATAAAAACTAATGAAAGTTGGGGCAAAACATCGTTTTAAATCATTAATTATTCGGCGTACACTCTCTAGCTGGATATTTGGTTGTGTTTTTTTAATTTACGTACAATCTCGATTTCTTCTGGATTGATTTAGAGGTATTTGTGCCATTCAGCTCCAATGAAAACGCTAACTTTAAATCTGTAGCTGGTGTTATGACGATACGAGTACTAAAGTCAAATTTTATGACACTAAATGAACACGCGAAGAATATCCTTGAATTTAAAAGAAAAACACACAACAATATATTCAGCTGGACATTGTGAGCCTAATTATTCCGTCAATTTTTTTTACATGAGATAAAAAAATGAAGATAAACAATTGCTGTTAAATATAATTAATTTAATTAGTAAGTAGACAAAAAAAAATGAGAGAAAGTCAGAGAAATAAAATAATAACGGTCATAAACTATTAGAATCATTTTCTACAAAGAAAAAGTAAAATGAAAAAAAATATTTTCATCCAAACATACACACATTTCTTAAGTTCAATAACAAATCTGGGCATAGAAATTCATTAAACGTATTCATGTTCATTTGATTTTCTATTTCAATGTTCGGTACTTTTGCAGATTGTTTTTTTTTTTGTTTTGTTAAAAAAAGAAGAAGCGCAAAAAGTCTATCAGATAAATAACACAAAAAAAGAAAATTCCAAAATTAAAACATCAAATGATGTGAAAGGTGAAAATAGCAAATATCTTTTAGTTATTTAGTTTCAGGCGAACAAAAGAGGATCAAACTTTTTTAACTGAAACTTTTTTTCCACCAAATTTTTCATAAGCATTAAACATCCGATCGGGTTTTAATGTACATTTTATTTTTGTCATAATTTTTGTTTTGGTCCCTATCAGGTTATCAAGTCAAAAGTGATTTCTCGACATTTTTATTTGAATTATAACTTAACTTCAGTCTGTGACTTAAATTATTATACGCACACGAAGTTTTGTTGATGGCACACTAATTATTATTACTGATAAAATCATGACACACAGGCATAATGTTAAACAGCAATTGCACAAAGACGAACAAAAAAAATTGACAACCTAACACTCACACACACATACGCATAACATTACATTTAGCTGAGCGATTTACAAGTAGTATGTTCTAGTTTTATGAAAAATTTAAAATGCACATGGAATTTGAATTTAACAAAAAAAAATATCTTTTTTTTGTCGAACAATATGTTGAGTGAAAAGAGAGATAGAAAATAAAATGTGAAAAGTGTGAGCGAAAAAAAAAACCGAAAAGAGTTTTAAAAAATATAATTAAAAAATAACTATTTATTTATGTTTTAGATGAATCTGGAAAATTGTTATTTAACTTATAAGCGTGTGTCCAAGTCATAGCATAATATCCTTGTTCCGATTGGCTGTATTTGACTTAAGTTTGTTATCAGTTCATTTGACTGACATTTGGCTAATTGGTTCAGTTCTTCTTTTTTTTCAGACAAAGCGCATACTATTGAATATTGTAATATATCTGGTGTGCCCTGATTGCATTCCATTCCCCTTCACCCCTCATTTCTTCGTTCATTTAATTCTCTCGATTTCTGTTTTTATTTTGAATTTTCAAATAAATTTACCTAGATCAAGAAAAGAAAATGTACAAGGTGCAATCGTTTAAATTGTTAACATAGGACATATTTTAGATGAGAGATAAACAATGTTTTTTTTAGATTATTATGTTAAAATAACGTAAATTGTAGCAAATGACAAATGAATTTACCGAACAATTGAAAAGATCTCATGTAAATCGTTAAGGGAATGTAAAACACAAAGATTAGACTATGAAAACAAAAAAAAAATATTTGCTGCGCCAAAAGCATAAATAACACGAACGTAACGAAATAAAACCAAAACAAAACTAACAAAGAAGAAAGAAATTTAAAAAAAACCCTATATAAGATTTATGTTTAAGTGTATTTAAATGTTTGAAAGTGAAATTGAAGCAAATATTCTCAGACATGGACAGAATTATTTTCTTCGTGTATATTCATTTTGAATTGATCTCACATTTGATTTTTGCGTTCGTCCGGCATCAACAAGCAGATAAACAATAACAACAATCTATTTATAAATGTATTTTTTATTGTTGTATTTTCAATATTAGCAATGAGTAACAAAAAAAAACAACAATCGGTGATATTTTTCTTTTATGGATGGATATGCATAGGAAATTTAAAATGATAAAAAATTATACACATATACATTTTCATATGGAACAAAGTTGTTCAATTGTTAGCACCCGGTATTTTCCAACATAACAAACAACAACAAATGTGTAAGACAAATATCGTTTTCCTCATCGATAATATCGAGAGAATGAAAGAGAGAGGGGGCGAGAGAAGAAAAAGTTTAAATAACGCCATTTTAATCGGTATATACATTTAATCGATTGCAAGTGACTGAAGACTTCGACAAAATAATTCAATTTGTAAAAAAACCAAATTTTTTTTTTTGGATGACGAAAAATAATACAAACAAAAACACACACACAAACAACACATTTTGAATAACAGTTATTAATGTGAATTATTGAGTGATTTCTTTTTGAACACTTTTTGTACTGCTTGTGTGCTTTCATTCTCTTTCTTTTGGTTTTTGATTTAATGAAAGAAGCTTGGTCAGTTTTGTTTTTGTAAAACTTTTGAGAAAATAATAAATTTATAAAAACACAAATAAAATGACTAACAAAACATGATGGAAATACTTTACCTGTATATAAATCGAACAGCAAATGAGTACAACCAAAATCCAGATGAACATTTTAAATATTAAGTTTTGAAGAACACGAATGCCAACATAAAAAACACATCCATAAAGACACACGAACAACATCGATATCGAGCATTTAGATGAGTATCCGACAATTATTTTAACCCAAAGAAGATGAAAAAAACAAAACAAGGATAAAACTAATACTTTAATTATAATAATACAAAGATATGAACTGCCAATAATAAACAAACAAAGACACATTATTGAAACATTATTATAACGTAAATAGTCTAAATTTCGAACAAAGAACAACAACTGAACGCTATGAAAACAACAAAAAAAAAATTATATATTTGAATTTAACAAGAAACATTTAAGAAACAAAAATAAAAAATAAAAAAAAACATTTAAACTGATGCAGACATGATTGACGAAGCACAAAATAGATTAATTAAATAGAATTAGATTCTATTATTATTGTAATTAACTACTGATAGACATATTAAAACCAAGCCAAGTAAAAGAAAACCACTGAACGAACAGATAACACAAAGAAAACTGAATAGGAGCGAACACAATAACAAACGAACGGACGCAATATATAGCCAATATAAACCCCTTAACAATGAAATATATGTATACATATTTCGAAAATGCGTGTTGTTGATCGATCACTTTGTTTTGTGAACCTGAGCTCCTTTTGGTTGAAAATCATCATTATCGTTTGAAATCTAGAATAATTAAAAAAACAAACTTCTTCGACATAAAACACCAACAACAATTCAAAATAATGGCAAAGTATCAAAACCAAAACAAAAATGGAATGTTGTCAAACAAATCGCCATCACCGTGACAGAACTATCCGCATTATTCGTTTCATCGATCGAATTTGATGCACAAATACACTTGTGTTTTTCTTCTTCGATTTCCGATTACACCTTTTGCTATGTGTTATTTGAATCTTATAGTCGATTTATTGGAAAACATTTTCCAAACTAACTATCGCACAAGCTGCACAAATTTCTTCGGGTTTTTGTTTTTAAATTCTGATTTGAGAATATTTTCATCGATGTACGCATATCATTGCCCTCTCAAAAAAAAATGACAGATCTTCAATTCCACTAGCAACAATATGCATCATCAGTCTGATCATTTTATACTAATTGTTTTTGTGGCTATCCGGCCAACCATTTTGTGTGATCAAAAAAAAATACCCACCTGTTTCGTGAATTGTAACATTTCAATTCTCGTTATGTCAAATGAAACCAAACACAAACGGCAAGCACACAGTAAGCATTCCATCATCACGAATGATTTTCTGGCCATCATAATTAAGAGGCTTGCAGATTCATGGCATTTGACAAAATAAAACACACGTTTCGTATCACTAAACAATAATATTTACTTTACATCATTTCGTAAATCGGCGCAAAAACTAAAATTTCGTCATTCGTAAACAAGCGAAAGAATATAAAAAATGATCCTCCGAAATTAATTCATAAGACACAAAAATACAATCCATATTGAAAATGGTTTGACTTTCGTTTTGACAACGTTTGGATAGAATAAAAAAAAATATAGTGATGAAACATAAATTTGATTCAATTTCAAAACCAGGCTGCATTTAATCTCTTTCTCTCTCTTTCTCGTGGGAAATAATAATCTTACCATGCAATGGATGCATTTTCATCTATACAGGCAAAATCAATTACTACATACGTATTTAATTTATAAATATGAGTAGTAGCTCATTATTATAGTGATCGAAATTTTCCTCCGTAGAAAACCATTCATATCAAAACTGGAACTTCTTAAAGTTAAAATTACATACACAGATAGAAAACGTTCACCGTAATCACACTTACACATCCACCAAATTAACCGTCAAAGAGATTCAACGTCATGCAAATGGGACAACACAAAACGTCGAAGAAACAACAACAACAAATCCACAGTGTAATAATTAAAAAAAAAAAACATAAACAACTTATATAGAACTCTTTTTTTGTACAGCAATTTCTCTAGTGATGATAACATATATTTTTATTGGTTAATTTTTAGTGTATTTTAAGCACTCAAAAAAGGGAAAGAACAAGATACAACAACCGCATAGAACTAACAACAAAAAGTGAAGAAAATTGAAAATTAAACGTTAAAAATTAAAAATATTTTTTTAGTAAATAAACAATATTTGAAGAGAAAACTCAGTCTTAATCTCACACACACAAACAAAACAAACCAAAAAAAAAAATGATGAAACGAAAAAAATATTATGTCCAAATCGTTTAATTAATATTCGAAGTAATTACGTGAGATATTCGTTAACAAACATTTAAAACCACATAAAAAGCACGAAAGACAGAGAAAAAAAACACACACAAACGAAAACCATGTAAAATAACAACAAGAAAAATGAGACATAACGCCAAATTTTTGTTTCTTAAATGACAACAACCAGCTGGTGCCACTGTGTACCGGATAAGGAATAAAACGTATAACAGTAAATGAAATGAATTACAAACATACATACACAAACACACACCTAATAACAAACTCGATTCGATTCAATTTGATCAAATAAAACTAAGAATATGATAATTTTGCGGGTATTAATATTAATATTAATAATAATGATCTAACTCAGGAGCAAGTGCAATCGGCATTTTGCTCGCGGTTTGCCGAGCAATATTCCAGTTGTGCGCGCCTCTGTTCAAAAAAAAAAAAAAACAAAACTATTGAATTACTATATGTGTAATATTTAAAAGAAATTTACAAAAAAAAAATGAAAAACCAAACAAACGCGTATTTTTCAAAGATAAATTGAACCGATCTTTGTTTTTTTTTTCTGTTAAAAGAATATAACCTTTCGATAGTAAAAGATTAAGACGTAAAGTGTTGAAAATGAGAAAGGGGACAACAACAGCTCTTCAAGAAAAAAAAGTCGCTTCGTTTGAAAATTTATTCGTTCGTTTAAACGCAAAATAAAATAAAAAAAAAACCAATAAAAGAAAGAAACATACCGAATTAAAGGCGTGCCAAAAACAAAAGAAAATACATGCCAAATGTTTCGAAACCAAAAACTAATTGTCAAGTAAAGTTGAGTAAACTGCTGGCAGTTTACATGAAGACAAATTATACAAAACAAATCCACCACCGTCGCACAGCTGAAATAAAACAAAAATAAAAACATCATCAAACAACAACAAAATCCAATCGATCTGAGCTCTTCAACACAAATCCGACGAATTGCCGTGATTAAAATGTGCTTCATTTTTGTGTTCGTTTATTTCGTTTTTCATTTCGATTATTTTGACCTTTTGATTTCTCTCGTAGCTCATTATGTAACAAATACTCTCTTTCAAATGATTGGCGAGTCATTTAACATACAAAACAAAAACTCGTCCTTCTATAGCTGAAAACAAGAAAAAAAAAAATTACGAAACAAACAAAAAAAAATATTATCTAGAGAATGAAAATAAAACAATTGTATAAGATATAACTTCTTCTTGAACTCTCTAAAAGACGAGATGATAATAATAATTTAATGACAAAAAAAATGAAATGAATAGCTACATACTATGTTTTTGGTAGATTTTATATGAAAATATACAATTAGATATTTATTCTGGACGCATGTTGTGAACAGATTTTTATTTAAGTTTATGGAATGAGCAAAGAAAATACTAGCACTTACAAATAATTTCAAATCACACAAACACGCTCATACACACTAACGACAACTATTCATAAACATATGCCTATTATTTGTTGATTGTTAAAGAAAAAAAAATATGAGAAATTTTTTTTTTTAGTAAAAAGTAAATAAATGTTGTGTGTAAGAAGTTTGGTCAATGCTGTAAATTTGCAGATATATACATTTATATATAATATATGTGGAATGGATCAAATTGATTGAAATTTATTTTTTTTTTGATTTCCATTGGACATTGGATGCCCAACACATCGCATTCGAATGCAATCAAATCATGTCTGCCAATGTGAACAATTCTCAAAATATGATTTGGATCACATATATATTATATATTGACCGATAGTCGTACACACTCCGGTCACTTCGATAACAGAATACCAAATCGTTCTATATGGCACCGGTAAATGCTATTGGGCAAAGAAGAAAGCATATTTAAAAAAAACTTCTAATTTGGTACTCGGTTGTTGTTAGTTGTTTTTAAAAAGTCGAAATTTGAGTATTTAACTTTTTCCCCCTTAAAATTTATACAAATCATATTTCTCGTATTTGAAGCGGATCTTGATGATATGTTATTTGAAAAATTTACTTCAACATTTCGCTTTTTACAAAACAAGTAATGGCATAGAGTACTACACGCATGAATTGATTATTTACTAAGAACGTCGTATACCCGGCGTTTTTTTTTTGTTTCAAGTACACAAATGTGCGCAAATTTGGTATCAATTCGATAAAATAAAACTAAATGTGCTTATATGTTTAATGATGATAAACGATCCATAATAATAATAAAATAAGAATCCGGAAAATTTAATGTCATGCTGACCAGCTTTCGTTGTGATACTAAAGTGGCATGTGGCCACTATCATTCTCTGAGCATTGTTCAAATGGAATCAAACTAAAACAATGTGCACCTGATTGACGAATAACACCGATTTAAATGTGAATTATAGCAAAAAGAAAAGAAGAGAAGAGTAAACATAAGTTAGTTGCCAATAAGATAAACAATCATAACAAAATATTGGAATTTCATGGCGTATAAAAATCGAATGTTTTTTCTCGATTTATCCGGATCCATCGAAATTTCAACAATTTCGCCATTCGACACACCATCGAAACTATCGGAAAGGTAAATGAAAATCGATAATTCGAAAATGTGGAAACGCCATTTAACCCAAGAATATTTTATTTAGGTTATCAGGATGATGATACTCCATTATCAATGTTACCATGGCCGACACGCTAGGCCTACGAAGGCCTACATTCATCATAGTGCCTCTTATCATTGTTCCTATATCCTTTTTTCAAAGGTGCGTTTTGAACCATTCGATTCAACCAAAATCCATGTCCATACCACTAATTGTTTTATCTTTAATTTATCTTTAGTGAATAAACACAATTACCTGATCTAAGGAAGGGCGAACGACAAACAACAGAACACCAAAGATATTTCAAGGTAAAATAACATTGTTTTGATCAATAAAAAAAAACGGTGGCTAACCAATTTTATTTTATTTTTATCGTTCCAGTTAACAAAGTATAATGAAAGTTGTTTGGCACGGCTTAGTTTTTTCGTTTTCAATCACATGAAACTCACAATTATCGAGCACAATTGTACCAAATTTTATATTTCGAGCAATGCGTACTTTGTCGAAGAACAAAAGAAAACGTCGTGGTGCATAAATACCCTATTATGAATGTCCAAAAAAGAACAGAACAAAAATTGTATATGTATTTGTTTATTTAGTATTTAACAAATGAGAAAATTATATTTGAAAAGAAAGAATTTGTGAAAAAGCAAAAAAAAATAAAAAATAAAAAAAATTAGGAAACACACAGACATAACAAATATGATTTAGATCGATATAAATTAGGTTAAACAAAAACAAATGATAAAAGTAATCAATGCGACTAAGTTTTAAACAAAAATGGGATAAAGTGCAACTGAAAAGTAAAATAATAATAATCTTCAATAACCAAACCAAAAAAAAAACACGATCATGATTACCACGATTTTTAATCCTTTTCTAGACATATTTTCTTTTATACATTTGATCGTTTTGTAATGAAAGAAGAAGAAAAAAAAAAAACCAAAATGAAAATAAAAATTCCAACGTAAACATGGATCATACAGTTTGTATCACATAACTTCGTGTACAATAATCCCGTAAAATTTTCTGCATCTCAACGTCCTCTTTGATTCGATCTCAATCGAAATACATACACAAAGGGAAGCAAGGCCAATGACATGTTCTATCACACACACACATACACACACAAAAAAAAAAACAAATCGTATTATTTCTTGAGTTAAAGCAATGTCCAATTTTAAAATTCTGATCGAAACAGACGAAAGTTTAAGTATTTCTTGGACGATGGAAGTATGCATTTGAAAGAGTGGAACCATTCAGTTATAAATCAGTTTTAATTAATTAAAATTATATTCTATTCGCAAGATTCAATGAACAGTGTTCATAGAAGATAAAAAAGCCAAAATTCCAATCAAAACATCAATGCAAACACTACACAGACCGTTTTGAAGTAAACTCCTATCGTACTTCTTATGTGTTATCATTCTTCAATAATTCAAAAGAAAGGGCCGATTGAGTTGTTCCTCCTTACCGGACGAAAACAAAAATGAACAACAACAACTAAAATCCAAAATAACAAAGAGAAAACTGAAATACAAAACTGTGATGTGTTATGCAAATAAACTAACATTAGAATTCATCTCTCTCTTCATCTCACTCTTATAATTAATTTGTTTCTCTGGCGTGATATTGTACCAATCCTCTCCTGGCTATCTATACATTAGATACAATGAACAAAAAAGAAAGAAAACGTTATATAAATAGCAAATTAATTAGGTCAAGTCCATAAATTATTAGAGAGACCATCCTCAAATAAATAACACCAAAGATGCGAGAGATGATGAAGAAACAATGCAAAAAAAAAACAGGAAGTACGAATTAAACAGTTAAAATGAAAATACATTGATAGATTACGATAAATTATAAAAGTTAAATAGATAACGAAGAGAAAATAAATACACCGTTTGTGTGGTGGTAACATGATAGATCACAACATGTATCAACGTTTGTTTTTGTGTTGTTGTTGAAAAAGTTCATGAAACAATCGAAGCATTCGAGCATTTTCATTATCATCTTCTTCGTCTAAACAAATGGCTTTCTTTGTATTTAGTACACAAATATTCTTCATATCGTTGATTTGCTTCGTGCCGAAAAATGAATTTGATATTCATTCGGCATTTCATCTCTGATCAGAGTTCCTTCAAATGGCACAGGTGCCATATGATATGTCAATTTCAGCGAAATGTACATATGTGTGTCTAATTAAATTCAATAAATAATTTGTACCTGAATCAACACGATGATGAGCATATCATCTACGTTCCATTAATCATTTCTGATGCACACATCTACTGGTACACATTTTATCACACTGATGATATTAATAATTGCCGAATTAATTTTCCGCACCATTCTCAATTTCCCTTTATATCTCTTCTTGGTCTCGTATACTCCGCCAAATCGTAACCACAAGAGAATTGTTTTGTCTCTTCAGCTTCTCTACAAAATGGAATAACGGCTTTTATACTGTTGAACATATAATACCATGCATGCGAAAAACTGAATTCCAAGTTGAAACCGATGTCTCTCTCATTGAATTATATATATATAGATTATATATAATATAAAATAGTTAACATATATAGTTGCCTGAAATAAGAATTTAGTAAAGAATAGGTATAGGGTGAACTGAGAAAAGCTAAAAAAAAACAAACCAAAAATAATGGTGAATCAAATAAAATAAAAGTAATTTGTCTTTTTTTGTTGGTTCGGCGAAAGAAAAAAATAATGAACAGAATCGTAATATGACACAGTATAACAAAGAAAAATATTAAGAAAATGAAATAGGGGCTCATAAATCAATGCAGTTTGTTACAAATTGACTGCCGTAATTTTTTTCTGTTTTTATTCCCTTTGACACCGGCACCACGTTGGTCCAACCAATCAATTTTTGAATGGAATATTGGTGTTGACACGCACACAGGTCAATTTGTGGCTATTTGCATTGATTTTTACACAATAAAATCAATATTTTTTATTCACCATACATCTTTATTGCCGTTGGATTAAAAAGCACAACAAATCGTATGACACCAAAATTCGATTGCATTTCACAATTTATGTACATGGAGTAAGAAATAATGAGAACACATCCTCAACCAAAAAAAAAAAAAAAAAAAATACTGTGCTAAAAAAACTTGTATCGAAAGCAATCAAAGCAAATAAAATAGCAGTGGATAAATAAAAACTGCACAAGGGCCGCAAAAATCGAACCGAATCAAATGAGATATATTAACATTTCGTTGAAAATATCTAATGGGGCGGATAAAGATGAAGAAGAAGACGAAGAATAGTTAACTTGACGTTCATTTCTGTTGTGAATTTAAAAAAAAAAAAGACATTTTTTATGCCTATGGCTTTTATACTCTTACATATATATTTTATAGAGATGTTTTTTATTTTAATTTTATTTTATGCTTTGCATTATGCAAGACGGTTTTTCAAAAGGCATTATTGAAATGTGAATTTTGCTAGCTTGTATTTCGTTAAATACTGGATATTTTTGTTTGTCGTTCTTTGATTTCGTAATCATGCGACATGGATATGTTTTAATCTAGAAATGTAAGAAACTATACGCCATCCGAAAAGAATGAAGAAAAAAAGAAGTGAAATTTAATGAACAAAGAAAAAAAAGAATGAGAATTGAGTTCAATGGGAGAATTTTCAAAGTGCAAATATTGAATATATGATTGAGAATGAGCACGTAATACTTCTTCATTTACCGAGCAACAACTAAAAAAATCAAGCAACAAAAAAATCTCGCATTGCAAATCTATGACTGAAGTAATTGATGATCGGTGTCATTTAGAAAAATTATCTCTTTCTTCTACAAATACACATACAAATGCAAGAGTGTAGAATTTTCTCATTTGACTTAGTTTCTGCGGTAGCTTAGTCGCATTCGATGTTAGCTAATCATAACTATATTCTTCTAAACACATTTAAATCATGGTCTTTTGTCAATTAAATATAAAACAAACTGATACATCTACACTAGTTGAAGATTTGAAAATTCGATCCCTGCAAACAAACACAAAAAAAAAACCGAATAAAATCCAAGATCTCAACGCATATAAATCAATAATTTCGAGCAAAAACAAAAAAAAACGAAAGCGATGACAAGCGAACGGAAAGAGAGAAGAAGAAACGACAGCAAAAGATGGTCAGTAGTACTAACGCACATAGTAAATTTTACTTAAGATGTTACTTCAATAAATTGAACAAATACTGAAGAGAACGAAAAACCATTCATAAAATAGCAAATGTACAGTAAAATTGTAATTATTGTTAAAAAAAGAAAGAACAGAAATTTTTTTAAATTTCTAAATGAGCATCGGACTTCGAGTAGTAGCCGCCAAGAAACAACAAAAATACCAAGAAATATAAAACATAATGTGCTCGTCCCAATGGGAGGAAATGACAGCAAATTTTAAAATTGGCGCGCTGTTTAGTTTCGATTTGAGTTGTTAAATTACATTGACGTCCCCTTTAAAATTGGTGGCGCCACCGTCGGCTCAATGAGACTTGAAGTCTTCACATCCTGTCATTGGCTCGTCCCCTGTATTATCAACGATAATCAGATGTTTACGCAGTTTAATCTGAATAGCGCTTAAAAGCGTTTAATTCACCGCACACATGCTCTCGTATACCATAGACTCTCTGTGGTTTTTCTCAAGAAGCGCGGAATGTGAACTTTGAAATGCGTAATTCATACGAGTCTATAATACACAGCTCGGCCATATTTCTTTTGCATAACAAAATGAAGAGCAAAACTACATACACACACAAAAAACGCCTAACGAAACAATAAGCATACGTTTCGATACCTAATATTGTTGACAAATGTGAAGTTTATTAATACCGATTTAAAAACAAAACAAACCAAACCAAAAAAAAAGAAAAGATAGGAATAAATCAAACCATCTATAATAGATACTTTGGTACAGCTTGATGTCAAAGTTCATTTTCAAACAGAGAAATGACTAGCTCGCTCTGGTCGGCCGTACACACTCTTACAATATGCATACATCGATTTAAAACACTTAGTAATCCACAAATGGCAGTGCTATAAAATTCAACACATAGAACAATTTGCACTCATTTCATAAAACATTATCGATTTTTCCAACAACAACAAATGGCACCCAAACAAAAATAGAAGCAAACAAATCTTATACATATACATATATTTTGGATTGAATGCCATTTGGCATTATGATTCGGTTCCTATTTATGCAGTGTCTCGATTTTTAATTTCGAAAATCAATGAAATAATCACACTTTTTTCCGGTTTGCTATCAAGAGTTTCAATGAATCGGACGATCAAACGAATGCATAGAGTTCTGAATTCATTTATTTTATTTTTCTTTGTTGTTTCTGGTCGAGATCATTGCAATGTCATTTACATATTTGTGCCAAATTTGTAACACTTGGAAGAAAGAAGAAGATGAAAATGAAAAATATATGTTTGTGTACAGTACAATTTTTGGTTTTGTTTTTTCTCATGTAATTTATAACTGCTTGAGTAATGAAGAGTAGAAATGTAGTATACCAAATAATGAAACGAGATGTTGAAACAGTACTATTATAGTTTAAAATGAAGAAAAAAAATTAATAGTGAGCTATACAAACAATTAATCGACGTAAAATTAGATGATTTGAAGGGTAAAACAATAAATATCTATTTAAAATGAAACCAAAAACCGATTTTATATCTAAAATAATAGCTCCTTTCCTTTATCGCTACATTGTTTCCCATCCTTTTCTTTTCTCCATTTTATTTTTGAATTAATTTTTTACTGCGTGTATTGGTCGATTCCGTTCGAATATCACCTTTAATCAAAGATAAAAAAAACGTTAAGTATTAACAGCAGATCAAGTTGACATATTTCTACAAGAAATTTATCCCTCGGGATAATTACTCAGATGAGAAATTTAATTGTAACAAACAAAAGAACACCTGACCGAAAAGATAAAAAAAACAACATAGTCTTATTATATAGAATGTACGATTTATTGATAAAAAAAACGATAAAAGAAAACTACCAAAAACAGTGAACATCTGGTTAAATAAACATTTATAATTGTTTTGTTTTTCTTCGGTTCAAGCAATTTTAAAACAATTCGTTGATCACACGAAGCACAACCCAAGTTAAATCGCGATCAATGCCTGCAGAAGCAACAACAACAACAACCAAGTAAACAAAAAAAAAACATTTACAAAAAGGGGATTACCAAACCAACAACACACACAAACACACCAACAAACAAGAATAGCGCGTTAAAAATTGTTAATATGCAGATTTAGCCAGTATATTGCGTACAAATTCGATGTTTCAACGTATGTAACTCTGCGATTTTACATTTCATTGTATCGCATCGATATAATTTAAATATCTCAATGAACTAATTAAAACCAAATAAAAAAATTAACAATTTATCTCTCTATTCTAAAACTAGCGGAGAGAAAATCAAAAAAAAAAACGAATACGACACTTAGTGAAATGATGAAAGCAACTAAAAATGAAATGAAATTTTAAGCACAAGAAACCAAAAAAAAAACTTTTGACAAAAAAAAATTAAAAAATTGAAAAAAGCTCACATAAAAAAGCAAAAAAATTTAAACCAATAAATATAAACTTAACAAATTAGTAACGATATGAAAGTGTGTGTGCTAACAAAGGAAATGAGTTTAGCAACAAAGTAAATCCGTGAAGAAAATAATTATTGTATTAATGACTAAGTGTAACAACTCAAAATGAACACCTAATAAGAACAACAACAAAATGAAGTAAATAAAAAAAAAAAAAAATACAGTATAGAAGAATCTATATAAATTATATTAAATAGCAGAGTTTGTTTTTCCATTCCGGCACCGGCCACATCATACCGATTACGGTGAGCATGTTAGCCACTTATACATTGGAATGAACGGGTTTGAGAGCACAATAGCATTTTTGACTGTGATTTTGAGCGCCGTGTCCATCCTTAGCGAATTTTCTTAAGTGCCATGCTCACTGTCATCGATTGATGTTTTGCATGCTGCATGTAAAAAAGAACTCTGATAAAATAGAGCGAGAATGCGTTACAATAATTTATTTAAAAAATAAAAATCTGGAAAATATGACTTAAAATGATAATTATTGAAAAGAATTACAACAGCATGGAATAGAAAAAACCATAACTAAAAATATAACTTAAATATGTGTTGGTTCGAATTAATGAATTAAAATGTTAGAAAAAAAAATATGACCTTGAGTTTTATTGTGTACACTTTTTTTTTGCCCCTGCACTGCATTTCCATCACAACACATCTCTCGTTGTGTCAAGATATTTTAAACTGTGTTCAAGATAGATTTTTTTTTTCTTTTGCAAAAATTGACCCGATTTTCATTCTCATGACACGTATGCTCATGACACGTTAGCATAAAAGCTTGCGTGACACATTAATAAGTGGCTTGTGATTGAGAATACATATAAATACTTGTATATTGTGAATTATGGCAACTAAAAAAAAATGTGTAGCCCTTTTGTGTTTGAATATTAACATGAGAACACATCAAAATTATGTCTTTTATTCGGTTTGCCGAACAAAAATGATAAGATGACATCACACAATTTGGTTTGTGAAAAGCTTTTTGTCTCAATTCAGTTTGTTGATCTAATTAACAGCAAATTATACATTTTATGCATATGATTGTGATGAATATATTCCAAAATGAATAACATTTGCATGTTTACACAAAATTCGTTTATGCACATAAAACTGCCGAGAAATGTGAATGTAAAACGAATGATACCCGTAGATAAGCATTTGATGTACTTTCAACCGTACTAAATATTATGGTAGTTTAGCTTTGAAATTTGTTCTTCAGAGTTCATGGGCGCATCATTTTTCTTCCCTCATCATTCAACAGCAATATGAAGGGAATTTTCAAATTTTCAGAAAGCGTTTTAATATCCATCTGTAATTGTTTGTGTTGCTAAGGCGTTTGAGTTTGTCTTTAGCGTTCCACATGATGTGCAGAGAGAGAGAGAGAAGTGTGTTGTGTGTGTGACAGTGCTAGTGCTTGATGCTGATGTTACCATACAACTACAGTGTGTGCTCTGTACTATACAGTACTCTCATATCGTTTAATGTGGTGCCAAACAATAACCATCAGATAATAACCGCCTCTACGCTTTGTTACTTGTTCAATTTCAGTTCCGAATTCTTTTCTGTCTAGAATTCACTCTATCTCACTCGCTAGCTCTTCTCGCATGCACAAGAAGTCTGTTGTTGAAAGATTATATGCGGGCTGAACTGGGAAGAAAGACGAAGAAAACAAACAAAAAAAAAACTTTGAAAACATGGTAAGCAGCCCACTGTGAGTTGAAAGTTGGATTATTGAAAAAGTTTATCAAAAATCTTCTTATTATTATTATATTCGCATATTGTCGGGCGACGGCCATAACTTATATCATCGCGCACATTGTGTCTCCATTTATAATCTTTCACAAGTATAACAATATACCTACCACATTTACATTTTTTTTTTTATGTCCAAAAAATACAAAATTTTTAAGCCCTTGCCAATTTCACATTCAGCTAGATTTTTTCGTTGGATATTTCTCAGTCGCTTCTCGGCTTCTTTACGAGAGCACACATTTTACTCTCCATAGTTTTTAATCTCTCTCTCTCTTTCTCTTTCCGTCTCTGTTGTTGTCGCTGTCGTTATCGCGCGTTTGTTTTTATTTGTGGTTGGGCTGTTGTTTTTCTAGTTTTCATTAAATTCTGTGAAGGGAGCGTATGAAACGCTTGCGTACAATATTTCAGTGTTTAGCCATTGTGCAGTCGATTATGATGACGACGGTTAAACAACAAGTCCATGCACGAGGAGAGTGAAAGTCGTCAAAGTTAGTTAGCTGGCAAAAAGAAAGTTATTCATTGATTTATTTTCAACTCAATTTAGATCATGTTTCACGCGACCATCGTATAGCTTAAATAATTCTGGGTCGTTGCTGTTAAAATTCATTTATTTATTCTTTTTGCCTTTTATTTTGCTCAAATTCAGTTACGAATTGCATGCACCGTCGTTAAATTTTGTACGTTTATTTGTTTTTTGTTTGAAATTGTTGTTTTGCGAACAATTTTCAGTGTTCAGAGTTGAGACAAATCTTAAAAAAAAAAACGAAGAGTAACGTACAAAGTTTGTGAACTTAAAAAGTAGTTTTTTTCTTATTTTGCGCAACAATAGCATTTCTAATTTAATTTGAAAGTGAAGACGATTACGGAAATAATAATTAGAAGCAATGAATGTGATTGTACAATTAGTCAGCTTTCGATTAAGGAAATTTGTGCTATTGTCGATTGTGTATTTTGATATTCTCTCAGCTGATGCAATTCAAAACAATGCGAATCACAATTGTAAGTAACGGCCACCCGAATTTCTAAGAAACAATTTCAAAAATCTTTATTTTATTGCTCACAATTTCCGCTTGTTTTTCGTTTCATTTTTGTAGTATCGTTATCACCAAATGCAATGCAATTAAGTTTAATTTGAAAGCAAAAAAAAAACTGTTGGAATGTGTTTTGTTTTTTCTTTCTTCTGTGAATTTGTTTAGTCAATCGAACATTAATCGATACGTATCAAACGATGGCACAGACAAGACATGAACCCGATATAAAGCTCACACAAAGCGTACATAGCATCAACAACACAAACCATGACAAGAGCTTCCGGGAACTGATTTCAAAGCAACGTACGCTATCAAGAATAGAGCGCAGTGCGTTTACCATTCGCTTGAATTATAGCAGAATGTCGGTGGTAAAAAGTGACGAAAAACCGGCACGCAACGATTCAAATTGGCAACGGCCCGTTTTTGCATCGATCCGAAAATATGAGAAACTACCATTTGATCCGTCGTTTTATGAATGCAGTGATAAGCAATCGATTGACTGTTTGAACAAAACCAAAGACTTTCGCGCAAAAGTATTGAGTGAATTTCGAAAATCATTGGCCGAACCAATCGATGAATCATCCAATATTTACAATGTTGAATATGAACATCCAAATGATATGATCAAATACAATCCAACGTGTATGATTCTTGATGCGAAATTACGGATTTTAACGAATAAAGATTCACCGTTCGATACAAATAAAATCGGTCGTTTATTTCCCGTTCGTAAATTATTTGGTAAAAAATTTCTGTCAGTACCGCGTAGCTGCGTGATTGTATCCAGTGCTGGTTCATTGTTTCAATCTGGACTTGGAAAATTTATCGGTAAGAGAATTCGTGTACGGTTTGTTCTTCTGTCATTTTGTGGTTGTGTTGCGGATGAGTCAGATGCATTTTATACAGTCTCACGCATTCACATGATTCACTGAAATTTATTATCGAACCGAATTGCGGTTATTCTTTGCATGTATTTTGCGTACCTGGAAATTATTACAAATCTCAAAATAACAATATTCGCTTGAAAAATTATCTACTGTGTTGTCATTCTTATTGTTTTCTTATAAGAGCGAGCATACTCGAAAAAAAGTGAATGTCAATTATAACTGTAATGAAGAGAAAAACATTTTTTTTTCTACACGTGTGTCCACTTGTGATTTGTTCACATGAACTTCACAACAGAATAGAAAAAGAAAAAAAGAAAACGCACAACTACATGCATTTCTGAAGTTCATAGCTTCAATGTCATAAATTAAACGTGTACTTTCTGGAAACAGGCTCAAAATAAGTACCTTGCAAAGTACATTTTTTTATGCGAAATGAACTTCGTAAACAAATCAATTTTTTCCTGAACTAAGGTTAGATTTTATCGCAATGCGAATATAAAAAGCAAAAAAAAAAAAAAAAAATTTCTTTGATCCTTAATTATTTCACATTTTTTCTCTCCTTCTGCAAACTCAAACGTTTCATTTCCATTTGTGTATTCGATTTTTCTTGCTGTTTTCTATTCCGTTTCCATTTCTTTTTTAAAGATCTGCACGATATTGTGCTGCGGTTCAATCATGCGCCAACTAAAGGTCATGAAAAAGACGTCGGCAGTAAGACCACGATACGCGTCGTCAATTCACAAGTGAGTGTCGGTTTCGTCATTAATTTTTAACCCTTTCGATTCGAAATTCAACCGTTGTAAAATTGATTGCGTAAATAAACACGTGGGCACCATTTTGCAGGTGGTCAGCAAGAAGGAGTTTAATTTCGTTGAATCACCGATATTCGAAAATGTTTCAATTGCCGCATGGGATCCAGGAAAATTCAATGGAACATTATACGATTGGTAATTTTATTTAAATCCAAAAACAAAAATCGAAATGAATTAAAGTGACAAAATAAAATGAATGAAAACAGGATAGCCAAACCGGATTTTCCACTTTTTAAAAATTATAAACGCTTCATGAAACGTCGACCCGATGCCAAATTTTATCTGCTGGATCCTCGCTCAATATGGAATCTTTGGAAGGTGCTACACATATATACGGGTCTTCCGATTCGACAAAATCCACCGACTTCCGGATTCATTGGTTTGTTTCAATGATATCGCTTTCCAATTAATGCCATAAAAAAATACTGTAGTTGATAAGAAGCCGCGTCATATCATGAGATCGCTTCAAACTGGATTAGCAATGTATGCTAATAACGATGAATACATTTGAATATATGTACGTTTTGATGTATAATCAAACTATTTTCAGTAAAACAGTTTAAAATTACGGTTTTTATGCGCATCAAATGGAAAAATAAGTGAGAATTTGCTATAGCAAAGCAATTTGAATTATGTTTCTTATTTATCATTTAGGTCTTGCATTGTTGCTACCATACTGTTCATATCTTGATATCGTTGAATATATGCCATCAACCCGATTGACGAGTCGCTGCCATTACTATGACTCAGAGGTATTTGTTCAAAATGAATAATCACACACTCACCAAAAATGAGAAAAAAAAATTTAATGTTCTAAAATCACATGTTTATCAATCATCAGATGAATTCGGCTTGTACGTTTGGAGCATGGCATCCACTGGCAGCCGAAAAGCTTATGACCTATGCCATGAACAGTGCAAATGATTTTTCAACATTTCAGAATGGCGTCATTCGAATTCGAAAGCCAAAAAATAACGGATGTTAATTGATTAGATTCGACATTTAAAATAAAAATGTATGAGAAATTGATTAAACTCGAAGAGATTTCGATAAATTCAACAATAATCATTTTGATAGATACTGAGATAGCGAAATGAAAAAAATGCATTAAAAATTTCAATGGTGGATTTTAATTTGAACGAAATAGATACTTGTAAGCAATTATAATAGAAATAAAAATGCGTTTCACTTGTAAAATTAATTATGTTTCATTCCAATCTGAATTCCGTCCATATAAAATGTGTTCGATTCCAATGGGACGGGATATCTAACAATGATTTATGGCCTATTTAGTGCATGTTCTGTCGATTAGTTATTGAGTTAGCATGGAATGCGTCTACCACGTGCAATAATTAATTACAATTTAGGTAAATCGCAGTCATACCATTCACGTGAATGTGCATTTTGTTTATTATTTTTCTTATTTGCTCAGTACACAGCGGCAACAACAACGCCATTCATTATTAAATGAGAAAAAAAAATTATTAATTCGACGAAAGGCATCCAATATCCAGAGTTCGTGAGTTAAGGAAATACGTTTGAAGTTAAATCGTGTGTCGGCTCCTTTCGATTGGGATCCGGATAATACTTTGGATTGAATCGTTCGAGATTTTAATCTCATTGCTCATTTGAATTTTCGAATTAATTGAAATGAATTAAAGTAAAATCGATCACAATGGCACAACGTATTATATGACGCTCAATCAAATTGGACATTGATCGCCACAACGAGCATATGGCCGTTGTTCTTTTGCATTTTGCGACTAAATTTATGGCTTAGATATCTTCGATTTACATATTAAGTGATGTGTTATTGACTATTATTCGACAGATCGTGTGTTTAAGATATTTTTAATTCCAATTCAAATCTCATCGATCCCATTCAAATCGATGAAGTTCAAATATGGCAATTTCGTGTTATGATTTGATCATATTAGACAGTTTTCAATTGTATTTGATTGGTTGTTATCACAACTAAGTTTGTCACGATGGTTTTCGTCATTCCAACCGTCATTTTTCTTTTGTAGTTTGTCAGTTGTTTTCTCAAAACTAGCTATCACCAATTCCAGCCGCACAAATTTGAGTAAACGAATGGCCGCATAAATGTCAGAGCAAGACGAGCTATGAGTCATCTTGTCAAATAACTGGTAAAAGTTTTGAATGTTTATTAATCGCCAACGTATTGTTAAGGTTTTTGGGGTTTTCTTGACCGTTATCGTTCAAATCTCTATTATTTTATATTCATCAATGTTTCACGCGAAAAAAACCGAGCTCGATAACAATTATATTATTTACCTAAAAAAAAAAAAACACATAAAAAATATTGAAGGCGACGTGAAAAAAAAAACACAGCAAAAATTGATTTTTGACAATTGAAGAATAAACACTTATTGTGTGTCATGTAGCACTGTGGTTGATATTCTTGTAAATATCACTTGCCGGAAATCATGTCATTTTTAGACCGTGCGGCAACAAAAAGAAAAGTACCGAAAATAAAATGCACTTTAACGTTTCGAATACCAATCTATTCATAGAATTCTAATTTTAATAATATTTCTTTGGCGCATACAATGACGTCATCATTAGATAAAGTGGTAAAAACCAATGGTCACCCTCATGTACGTAGCCGTTATAACGTTTTTATTACGATGAAGCATTAACGATTACTTTGGGTGCGATGTGATTGCATGGAATATTCATAGCATTGGAAATGCCGGATAGCTGAACGAGTGGGAGAGAGAGAGAGAAAGAGTCAAGAATTCATTTCGCTGCAATTGATTGGAAGCAAACGTAAACAGTCATACACCGTAAAATGTACGATTCCTTTTATTCTAGTTTTGACTGTTGCTTGTCCATTGTTTATTTTTGTTGATAGTGTACGCGCAAATAGCAATCATTAAACCACTCAATGCGACGCCAAAACACCGACACACACGCACACACTTCAAAAAGGACAAAAAAGTAGACAAATACACAAAAAATATTTGTACTTTTTTCGTCATTACTCTCGTTCACCGTGTAGTCACCGTCATTTTGCAATACACAAAAATACTGTCGTGCCAATGCTATTGTAGCCGCACTCCGTATGTATGTACGTCTGTTGTTGTTGTTGCTGTTGATTTTTTTTTTCGTTGTTCCTCCGTTGATTTTATTTGTATTTCTGTCTTTCATTTCTTTCCGTGATTGTTCGTTTCGCTCGTTCACTGTCTATGGAACAGTGGCACGCAACGCACGACGGTCACACACCGAGTCTACAATAAAAGTGTTTTCGTTTTGCCTAAGGTGATTAGTCGCGATCCCGCAATCGACTATAACGTATCACATACACTAGCGTTTGAAAGCGTCCCGTTTTCATTGACACACAGAATAAAACAGTCCAATACAAAATTTCAATAAACAAAATAGATAATCAAATATTAAAACGAATCAAATTCGTAGTATTGATTTTATTATTTTAATTTATAAAAAGAAAAGAAGGGACTCGCGAAATTTAACCACTTATTTAAAGATTGTTATTTGTTTGTTTTGTCTTATCGTCTAAAATTCAAGTTTATTTGTTAATCAATTTTTATTTAGCCGATTATCGATATCGAAAACAAAAAAAAAAAAATAAAGAGATCAATCATAAGAAATAAAACGAAATCATAATTATCGAAAGAAAAAAATCGTGTGTGAAAATCCATTAGATAAAGGAGCTGAATCCATCACATGAAACTGCGATAATTTTTCACTGCCGTTATACAATTACCACAACCAGAATAATTATTGGTTCGATTTTTTAAACCATTACGAGATCGAGAGAAAAAAAAGAGTAAATAGAAAAATCTCGTGGCGAGAAAATCGAATTACAACACACCGAAATATACAAATAGATTAACGAAACAAGAATTTGCGTAAAATCGAAAAGTAATTTGTGATTATTCATAAAGACAAACGAAAAGTGTATGTGAAATATCAAATATTAAATTGAAGTAAACAAAGAATTACTGAAACGTGCAACAATTTTTGCTCCGGATTTATCAGCTGGACCACAAATTTTTTTTTATATTTTAAACACAGTAGTCAAATCGTATATAGGTAAGTTTATATATTAGAAGATCCATTTTATCGAATGCGAATCATGTAAATCGTGCAATTCCAAGTGTCGAATACAAAGTTAATCGGTTCCACAAAGTGAATGTTTTGCCAATTGTTGACTCTATAATAATTATGGACTTTTTCGTTGGATTGTAATCAATTGTTGTGGCACCGTCACTAATCTATTGCTTTTTGATTTGATGTATATTCAATGTGGCTTGTGTTAGTTTTAATTTCGGCAGAAATGTCATTTAAATCCCAGATTATGTGATGCTACAATATAACATCTATTTTATTTGAAATATTTTTGTTCATTAATGTCCATATGTCGCAAACAGCAAAAAAAAACATTTCTCGGAAATGATAGCGTTCTCATCAAAAGCGACTAAATGTGTATATCAATTAACAAGTCGTTAATTGTGTGCGGTCAATTCTGGTTCTTTCGTTTCAATTCATACTATTCACGTGTGTGGCACTTCAATTCAAATAAAGGCACTTACACTTTCTCTATGCACGCGCACACACACACTGAAATGCCCTAGAATGATGAGTTAAATTCTAGATTGTAAAATTGCAATGATCCGTTTTGTCAATTGCACTTGAAATGAGCGCACACAAAAGCGACAAAATAATATTTCTTTTGTTTCTTTCGGGTCAAAAAGTATCGCGTCGAAAAATATCATTTAATATATTGTTTCGTGTTTGTTCATCTCTACTTTTCCGCTTCATCTTTTATTCTTGTCATTGCTTTCGAACCGGCATAAATACAATCATAATATGTGTGCGTGGCTGTGTGCTTTATCAATATCGCAAGAGGCGCGCATACTGAGCAGATTCTTTTGCAGTGATAGCCCTTTGTCCTTTTTTTCCATATTTTCATCCCATTCATATATTTTTAGAATTGTTTCGCTGATAATTGCGGCAATGTAATTTGTGTGCGCGGTAGGCGCATCAACTGTGCGTAATATATTTGCTCTTTGCTATATAAATTACGCGTTGTCTTTGTACGATCATACTCATAAATTGAATATTAAACATTGCAGTACATGTTTAATCATATCCACTTAAAATACTTTATACTAGCCCAGACGAACGTCTTATTGTTTTACCATAGCGCGTAGACTGGCTCAACGCTTTATGTTTGCCTTTTAAGGCATAATTACAAACAAAATTTTATCTTTTATCGTTGTTTTTTTTTTATATGGAAACTTCATTTGTCATATAATCATAATATTCGATGCTGAACAAATTCACATTTATTTCGGCCAACATTTTTTTTATGCGGTTGTCTCAACATATTAAAAAAACGCAAAGACAAACGCAGAAAATGGGCAAAAAGGCCAGTTACAAATCATAAACACAAGGCAATCGTTACGTAATTAGAATAACATTCGCTATCTTCAGATTTGTCATGCTATCGTTCTTTCATCGTTTACAAATTTGTAATTGGTACTGAAGCGTTCGCTTGAATCTTCGTCATCATCGTCACACAATGATAAGTGTCACACATACAGAATGTACACAATATTGCAAAGGCCTATCATTTCGCAGCGGCGGCAATGTATCGTTTTGTTTTTTTCTTTTCATTTTGATACATTCGCCCGCAAAATATAATGTTCTGTATTGCACAAGACATCATTCATTCATTCAATAATGTTTCATTTTAGTTTTTTTTTTTTCATTTTCTGTCATTTTCCCATTGGTCATTAAAATTAAATGATAAAAATTGATTATAGTAATTACACATGTGAAGCTGAATCATAGATGTATAAATGCATGACAAACAAATGAATCGAAAATAGAAATAAACCGCCCGCATGCGTTCGTTGCGCTGGACAAGTGTTGTTATGTGAGCGATAGAGCGGTAGCGAGAATTGTTTTGCTGTTGTTGTTTTTATCATACATTCGATTTTCATTGACAGCACAATCCCGTTCCTTTTTTTTATTCGGTCAATATCATCCAATCTGCCACAATCAATCGCATTTTGTCGATGTTTGTTTTTGTGTGTCGTTCGGTAAATCGTCAATTGTCTTAGCTACAAAGTTTTCTCGCGCATATTTTCAATTTAGCACATAAAATTGGCATGTGTCGATAGTAAAAATTGAAAGTTTGTAGGCATGTAAACGACGTTGTCAATGAGCACACACGCTTCGAAATTGCATGCCTTAATGAGCAACAATTGATCGCACTTTTGTTCTGATCATTTTATGCATATTTTCTCTTGACTCTCCGAATGCTTCTTGTTGTGGCTATGTGGCTTTACATAGTTTTCAATTGTTTTACTCCACTTCTCTTTTTCAAATTGAAACATAAACGTTTGAGTGAATAGAGAGTGGAGGAGTAAAATCAGTGAAATTACTCGTTTTGTGTGTTTTTTATGCTTGCTCACTTCGATTATCTCTTTCAATTGATCAAACCGATTTGTTTGTATAGAAAAATACGTGTTAAATGCCAAATAGAATTTGTATTTAGTGCAAAATGGTCGGCAAATGCAAGAAATTCAAATAAAATGATGAATCAACTCGGTTAATTGACAATATAATTTATAATGACTACATGTAGAATTCTATGTTTTAAATATTGTCATAACAATAAGTCAAGCGTATCGCGAACAAACATCTTTGTGCGCAACCGATGAGTGCGGCATATAATAATTTATTGGAAATAATGTGGTCCGATGAAGAGTTGGATACACACGAAAGATAGAAATAGGAAAAGAGCGAAAGAGAAACAAAGAATATTGAATTGGGTTTGGCGATCCAAAATCAAATTCTAAATTTAATGTTGGTGTTGCTTTTTTTTACCACAGCTGATTGTCATTCGGTCCATTCAATTTATTTATTGGATGGTTTTTTGTGCACTTGGTTTATTATTTTGCGAATTTCGATTGGCAAAGCCGCTCTTTTTTTGTACATCTTTCTTTTTTTTTTTATCATTTTATGTCCGAAGTAATTTCATTGTGAATAGGTATATAATTTCATTGTTCACACGGCATATATACATTTAATATGCGGCGAGGTTATAAATTGACAAATTTATATATTCTGTGAATAGCATAGATAAACACTGTTTGACATTTTCAATATGATTGTTGAAAAGAAAAAACCCTAACTAACACTCATCGGTACATGGCACAATGAGCAGCGACGCAAAACAAAAACACACAGCAATAAATAAAATACACACACACGCGGAGAGAAAAGAGAAAAACGTAGGCCAAAAGCGTTTAATGATAGCGTAAAAATTTATTTTCGATTTTTATTCGAAGATAATTTTTGCAAACGAATATGAAATGTATGTATACGACAAACGTAACGCTCGGCAAAAAACGGCAAATCATAACGTATTCATTCGAAATGTGGCTCGTGGCATTGGCATGAGTACGATTATTTGTTACAAACATTCCATCGAAATGCACCCAAATCTACGCACATTTTTTTTTTTTTTTTTGATTTACAAACGACCGGCTGCTTCGCTGTTTTGTTTATTGTCATTCGATGCGTATACAACTATGACAATTACAACATAGCCCCGCATTAATAGTTCAATGTCAATAGCTATGTGCCGATAAATGCACACGTGCAACTATTGCATTATGCGAAACCACGGCGGGAGCGCCTAAAATCAACCGAAATTGTAAAATTATAACAAACTGTTGCAGAAACCGCTTGCTTAGTATTCATGCTCTTTCGGTGTTTATGTGCTGAACAAAAAAATATATATATGAAAATTTCGCTTGGTTCGTGGCATTGGACATGGTCAACTGTACTATAAAGTATGAAAAGTAAACCGAGTACGGACCACACAGAGACATACACAAATCGATTTGATTTGTTAAATATGTAAGCTTGTTAGTGCACTTTTCACGCTTGTCAAACACTGATTTTTATCGACATTGTCATACGCAATACTTGGCAATAAATTTCTATTCGAATTAGAAGAAAAAAAAGTGTGTAGATCTAGTAAGTATTTTTTATTAAAAAAATACTCAAATATTTACACGCTCTTACGCGCTTATACATTTCCAAATCGGTGACAAATTGTATCTGGAATTGAATATGTTTTTTTTTTAATCAATTCGATCATGCCGATATTATATCAGACGAATAAATTATGAACAGCAAAACTATTGATTGACTCATTATAATTGAGCGGAAAAAAAGAGTCGAATATTTGTGCACAAATATTATTATGTGATCATTGGTTACCAATTAATTTTATTAGGAAATCGATGCTGTGTGTGTGTGTGTGCCATACGTATGCGCACAGTGGAAACAGAGAAAAACAAATTATTTTGCGCGAAAAAACAACAACAGTCAATGCAATAGCACACATAATTGAATGTGATTCAAATGGAAAATTAAGCTATTAAAGTGTATGGTGAAGTGAGTTTGGCACGCCAACCACGACCCGCACCATAAATGCTCGGATAGATGATCGAACCTCAAAATATAATAATAATAATAATATTCATTCGAATGGGCCACACACAAAAATATGCATGCTTCTCGACTGTATCAAATGCAACATGTGTGTCATTTATATGCGCTAATATCTTTGAATGTATTTCGTTCGCCGCTTTTTTTTTCGTACGTGTTATTTTATTTTGCTCATTTTTACCTATATGCTATACAAAGTTGAATTACAATATGCGCACATGAATGCGAATGGTGAAAATGAGAGGAGAAGCAAAGAAAATGAAAGAAAAATCAAATTCACGTGTCACTAACAACAGGTACATGTTATATGAAATTACAAATCATACCGTTTGTGTGATGCTGTTTATGATCTTTACATTGAATTTAAAGGTTAATAATGTAATCAATGCGCACGATGATGCAAAGTTATTTCTCTCTGCTCGTTTTGTGTGCCTTTTTTTGTTACTCGTTTGTTTGTTTGTTTGTTTCTGTAGTTTCAATTCTTTATATTCTTGTTCATATTGTTTATGTTACTCTCTCACTTTCTCTGTCTATTTCTCTCAATTTTCTCTCTCTCTCTCTCTCGTCTGATTTTTTTTCGTCACCGTTTCAAATCTTTCAGCTTGATTCTCAAATGCTACCGTTGTAGTGTTGTTCGATGTGATCTTGTCGTTTGCAAATCGGTAGTTGCATCGTGCGTCTATGCCTATATGTTGGGTCCAAGCACGACGTGCGCTATTTCATCACGTAATTCAATTGCTTGTGCGGCAGACGGCTTCTTTATTTGTATATTAACAACTGATTTTTAATGTTTAATTGAAACTGGTTTTGTCGTGTCGTAGTTTGCTTTGCGAATGTTTTTTTTTTTTTTTTAAAAAAGGCAGCAAAAACACATTGAAACAAAAATCATTCATTCTGAAGGTAAAGGTTTGTCTAATTGTCAGAATACATAAATAATGAAGTATTCCTAATAAATATGTTAGCAGAATGAAATCGGCACGAGATGCGTTCAAATATTTTTGTTGTTGTTTTCTTCCATTACGTTTTTCTACTGGCAAAACCAGCAACGATAATATAAATTCAATTTGAAAATTAAGCTATTTACGTCTAGCGATAGTCTTTTTGTTTTTCATGGCATTTCAATGGCTCAATTTGTGCCATAAAATTACTGAAAAAATCAATATTTAATTCGACGATGCGAATGGTTTTTCGAATTGGTCGCTTTCAATTCACATGTTCATTACAATCAAGACTTAGTCGGCTGGCATGACATCTTTTTCAACGAAATACATGAACCTATGTTCTGTGCACTTTATATATCTAGACGAAATCATATCACACAAATATTGATAAGAAAAAAAAACATCAAACACACACTTATTATTCGAAAGATGTTATACGAACCGGTGTAATCAATCTCATCACTTGTCTATGTCTAATCTTTTGGGTTCACACAGTACAAAAGTAAAAAAAAAAGTAAAATAACGAACTCTTTTTTAGATTCACACAGTGATAGTTGAAAATATTACCTATGCGTAAACACGTTGTGTGAATTGTATGTGTTAAAATCACATATTCATCAGTAGATAAACCTTTATCATAATAATCATATGTTATCACTTGTCGTTGAATCACTGGCGGTTGGTCTGTTGCCGCAAAAACTATTTTCGTTTATAAGTTCGAGTTGATATTTTGGTAAATTGTTTGACTTCAAGATGAGATCTATTCACGTTAAAAGTTTATAATTCATGTAATCCTATCATTTCCGCCTGGAAGTTGCAGATATGAAACATTTTTTTAGAACTTAGAATTTTGTTTTCGAGCATTTCTGTCAACTGTGTTTCAATGTATGCAATTGAAAACAATAAATTTTTTGCTTTTGAGAAATAAATGTAGGTCGAGAAAATACGTTGAAATCGATTTAGTTTGGTTCGATAAATCGGCAACCATTATACTTTCAACAAAATGTTTGTTGTGTGAGCGTGTATGTGTGTTTGTGTCGCAACGGAAATAGGTCACATAAAATACCAATAAATGAACAGCGAAACAAAACTAAAAAACAGAGAGAGAGAGAAACAGAAGACTTGCACAATTGACATAAAATTAAGTATTCTGTGTACAACTCTACATAGATATTTTGTTTTGTCATATTTACTCTTTGTTATCATAGTTTAAATTCATCGCATAGGTATAGATAACGCCCCGAAATGAATCGTCAAGGAAATGTGTTGATTTTTCATTCGAAATTTTTTTTTTGAGCACCACTCTCAAATTATTCATGCGAACGCAGCGATTTTGATTTTGGTTCGATTGGTGTGTGTGTGTATTAATGGTACATATTTTGTGTGAGGTCACAAAAATTCCAGCGAAAAATGTATGTAGAAAACTTGGAACGCACTGTTTACATTGATTCATATTATTTCTCTCGGCTGTCTTGTTTGAACAAAGCCACTTTAGACTAATTGGCATTTTATGTCTCTTTTTTTCTCAATTCTTTATTTTTAGTATTTTATAACTTATTCTAAAGACGAATGAAAAAATGATTCAAATTAATGCATTAGTTTTACTGAGAATCGCCGTTATCGCGATAATTGCAATTCTGCCAACAACTTGCGCACCCGTTCAGACGACAACACAAGCTGAGGTGAGTTGATTTCATAAGTATTTTTTTCTTTTCACTTAAATCGTCTTTTTTTTATTGCAAATTATTTGCATTGCACATACATATATGTATTTTGATTTCATCCGTTTTTTTTTTGCAAATGACACAATCGGATTGTATTGAATAAACAACAATGATTAACGTTAAATGTGATGATAACGGTACACATTGAATTGATAATTTTAATGAAATAAAAAGTCCATGCAGGTTTTTTTTTGCCATATATTTATCGGTCAATATTATTTAAGCCCAATAAAATGAAAAAATTTACATAAATTGATTGAAGAATAAAAAAAAATGAGATGCGAATTACGAATATATCAATAAAAAAGAAACCCAAATGCGATACAGCCTCAACGTAAATTCCACGAATAAGCATCAACATTGTAATAAAATACAGCGCAACATCGCGACCGAGTGAATGACTCATTCGAACACAAAGATGCTAATAAGGTGAACACAACTGGATTCTTTCACAGTCGTTTGATCATTTTGTCTGTCGTCGACGGCTTAATTTTTTTCTTCTTCTTTTCATTCATGAGAAATTTCCTGCGAATGATTAAGTTCGTTGTTTTTGTTGTTTATTTTTATAACGGAAGAAACAGAAGAGTAAAACTATGGGAGCATGAGTAATCTGATTCAAGCCACATTGTGTTTTACACATTCACATTGGGCATACGATTAGCAAATGTATCAAACACTGTCAAAATCAAACGAAAATTACCTACGCTACGCAGCTATGATTCATACATATTAAAGTGGTATTGCGGTTTAATGACAACAACAACAAAAACAAAAATTTGTCATACATTTAGTTTTATCAGCTGTTTATTGATTGACTCACGATAATGATGCCTCTCGAAAAGGGTCAAAGACTTAACCATTCAGTTTTTACATTGATCCCTTTCATTGTTATCGAATGCCATTGCAACACTTAAGGAACCAATTCACCACCGAAATAATCCAACAAATCACGCGATTATTCACAGTCAACACATTCCAAATTGAAAGAAATTAAAAACTTTACATTCACACACATATGGTAGATTGAACTTCGGTCATTCGCTTATTCAAATACTATAAAAGTTTTAAGTTTTAGCTCTATGAATTGATTGCTCACGTTAATTTAAAATGAGTTTATAAATATTTCCGGTTTTTCAAAATATGAAACAAATGCCCACCAACTTTGATTTGTACAAAGCAATCTAAACTAATGACTTGGTAATTTTCATTTTTTTTATTACACTAACGCGTATGTGTCTCATTTCAAACATGTCGATCGATGAAAGTGTGAGTCATAATACACCAACAATGGCAATACAAAGCAATAATACACGACTGAGGGTGAATTGGTGAATAGCTTTTGTGTAAAAAAGCCGATCGTTCATTTGTTTCCCTTTTTTTCAGTGTGGAGTACATCGTGTGATGTGTGTTTGTAGTTATTTTGTGTGTGCTTTGGAGTTGAAGCACCTTTGCTTTAGGCACAGTCGCTTTTTTCCCTTCGAATAAATGCATAACAATAAATTATACCAACCATATTTGAACTTCAAGCTTCGACACAATTAGCGCACATGGTACCAATCGATTGTTGACTCCACGGCTACACCACTCGACAAGTGAGCGCGAATGTAATTGTGTGATTCATATACAAAGGCGTACATCATGTATATGCGTATATGTGTGAGTTACTTAAACAAAGCCGCTGGTACAACGGTGAATTGAATCCGAAGGCAAATGCGTCACCAATACTATTTAATTGTTCTGATTTTCGGATCTGTTTCTTGTGTATCATGTAGTTTTTTAACTAATGTCTAATGCAAAACATAAACAAAAATCCATAGCATGACTGAAAATTGGAAAAAAAAGGAAGAGAAACGCTATGTAAAACGGCTGAAAAGCACGCAACGTTTAATTTTTGTTTTAAAACAAATTTATTCACTTCGATACCGCACTAAAATAAGTCTCATTTTTGCTGAGTTAATTTTTCAATTACGGAGCCATGTTATAGTGATATTTAAATGTCGAACTAAAAATAATTCAGTTGCTATTTATCGTACTGATAAAAATAAAATAATCGCAATTAGCAGAGAAAATAAAAACGCCAAAAATACCAACCAATCGAATTTTTATGTATGTGTTTGCATGCTAAAGCATTTGACAACAATTAAAGTCGGTTGGGTGTTAGTTTGACTGAACAATAGAATCCATGGCACATTTCAATGTACGTAAATTCGAATCAAGTGTTTCGATATGTTTCTATCGTTGCAAACAGTAGACATTCTATAAATGGCATAAATTTTCTCTGTTATGTCCAGATTAGTATGACAAAAAACTATGCAAATGCCACATCGATATATGGTTATGCAAGGTAGAGCCAAAAGTAATTAATCGTCATCAGTCAACGTGTCATCAACCATGGTCACGTCACTACGATGAGCGACGCTCACAACGATCAACAATACACAACACACTAAAGTCCAATCAATTTATGTGCTGTGCGAATTTCACGTCGACTACCCCAAACGGACACGCGACAAACACACAGAAATAGCGCCTTATGGGCCAGTACAATACTGAATTGTTTTCACCGAAAATAATTAGAACGAATATTCATTTTTAATAGCGTACCGCATACCCTTTGAACTTAGAGTGTGGCCACCTATACATGTCTTACGGGCGAAAAAAAAGTTGGTATATTGAAATGGATTAAAACAATTGCTTGAGATATACTGTTTGAGGTGATGGGTATGCAAATTGTCGCCAATAACATTCTGAAAAATGATATTTTTATCACAGACTTTGCATATCCTTCTTTGTGTGTGTGTGTGTGTCATCGAAATGCAATGCGTTCGAATTGCATCAAATTGATTGGTCAAGAAAAGTTCAAGGTTTATATATTCCAAAGTGTTTTCCTCTTGCCATCCCGTTTTTGCAGCTCTACCGTTTGCATTCGATAACGGTTAAAATAGAAGAAAAATAAAATACAAAATTAATACGGAGCAGCAAACGATAATAAAGAAGCTTGCCCTTTGCGAGCACGCCTGTAAATATTTATTTTGCTCAACGATCATTCAACGAGTACTTTGTCAAGACAGTTGAGACCGATTCACAGCCACACAATTGTCACTTCAATGCAAACATATGTTTATATTTCCAGTCCACAATTTGTTTGCACAATTGTCTCTGATTCTTTGTGATTTGCGAACATCTTGGCATCTTCTTTCTCTCTTTCGATCCTTTTCTATCTTTCCGCCTTCCTTGATTCATTTTCAAGCTACTGAAGCATAAGTTTTGTTTTATTGTGTTCAAATAAACTCCAGATATATAAACAGAGAAAGTAAATTGCTTGCATTGTGTTGCTCTTTGTTTTTGTGATGTGATTTGACGGTTTTATAGATCTGTTCAAAATGACACAGCACACAAGAAAACACTTAGATTCAAAAAAAAAAAAATAGTCGCCAATTGAAGTAATAATAATTAAAAAAAAACTCGGCACATCGTGTAATTGATCGTTTATAACATAATAATTTACACAAAATTACTGCTAGCCTTCGTTCATCCATTGTGCTTTGAAGACTCTCGGGCCGTGAACAGAATTCAATGTATACTTTACAACTACGTGAACAACTCTTTATTATTTTTATTATTATTTTTTCATCGTGGCTTCGGAACAATGATGATTTTGAATTTTTCCAATGAATTTCATCAAAGGAACATGAGTCAAAGATATCATATCATGTGTATACACATTCCAATTTCGATTGCAAAATAAAAGAATGAATCAAAGTGTTTTCAATTTCAAAGAGAGATCAAGAGTACTAAAATACAACGCATCGATGATTCACATATCTATGACAAAAGAATTTGTGACGCCGTGTCATCAAAAACCAAATCAACTGCGAATACAACTCGCTCTCTCGCAATTAGATTTCTTTTAAGTAATTCAATTTTATCATCGCTATCACTTTGAATCATTTCCGTTCGATTTTAAGCGTGATTAAATTCACCCAAATGAGTCAGATTTAAAAAATGAAAATTTACTTGTTGAAAATTTTGGGGTCATTTCATGTGTGATTTCCTTGTTTAAAACAAGCTCAACTACTGAAATGAAAGTGAAATTGAGAAAATGTATGTAGCAACAACATTTCGTTAAGTCATTGAAACCTTTCTTTTTCCAACAATATGCTAAGAATGACCAAATAGGTGATGTAGCTAAAAATGACTATGTAGAAAAAGCTTTGGTTGGTAGAATGTTTGTTTGTTTGACTACTTCTTTTGATCGATATTCCTTATTTACTTCAGGCTTCAGCGAAACGCGTGCATATACGAAATAAGTACATGTTTTATGCATATATGCAGGAAATTTATTGGAATTACATCGAATGTGGCAGAATGTGTGCTTTGAAAATGGTTGCTGTGTGGTCGACAAATGTCACAGAAAAACATGCATGCGGTAAAATGATACGATTTCGATGGCCTGGTCATCGGGCCGATGCTCCACATTCGAGTGATTTGTGACTTCCATGGTGTTAACACACAGTCTTTGAATTATTAAACAAGTAGCATTTAATTTAGGTTAATAGTGTTTGAACACATTAACATTGTGATTTTATGTCGAAAATAGTAATTGAAAGTGAATTTTCCCCATTCAAACAATTGACAAAACTTTGATTTGATATAAACGTAACACGTGCTTTGAAGGGCGGAAAGACATCGATTTTTTAACAACCATACCGAAAAAATGGATAAGTTGACAAGTTCAATGTCTTTCGTCATTTCGACGACTCAATTTCGACTGATATCGAATGCCTAAAACAATTATTTCGTGAAAAAAGCTGTAATTTAATTAAAAACGTACAGGCAGATATACTTGAAATGTTTGATTGCATTTTCTCGTGCATTATTTTTTCTCTTCCTCAATGAATTCCGGATTAGTTTTAGAAAAACATAGTTCGATGGACATTCCATTTATGTTTAACGAA